AGTCAACTGAAGGTTCAGAAGATGCTTGGGGAGAAATGGAACGATCAGCTGCAGTCCCCATTGTCGCCAATATCTTACCAGGACCGGGAGCGAAATCTACACAACGCAGCCAAGGATCTGGAGCGCCCCCCATCAGAGATTGAATCGCGGCCGGCTCGACGTGTCGGAGCCCTGCGACAGTTTGGAGGTCTTCGACCTCCCAGCGAGCTGATTGCTTCTGATCTTACCTCGTACTTCCCTGACCACACCAGAGAAGACATTGACCGCACAGCCCGACTCTCCATGCGACGGTCAACTCGCTTGAGCAAGGTCAACAGCCGGCTCAGCGTTGCTAGCAACCTCAGCTTTGCCTCCAGCATTCAGGATGCGCCTCCTATCCCAACCATTGCTGATTCTTGGCTTAATGCCAATTCTCAGCTTGCCAAGGTGAAGTCTCGGGATTCCCACATTCGTGTTCCTCAGAATGCCTACAACCGGGATTCAGTAACATCATCGGTGCTTGACACCCTTCAAGAGGAATCTTCTCTCGAGCCCAACCGCAAGTCTTATGTCTCTTTTACTGAGAGTGGCTCTGACTCGGCTGCTTTGAGTGTCACTGACCCTGAGGGCAACACCACGGCCACAAGCTACTATGATGGTGACAACTCAACGGGCTCCGGATCATTCCAGGAGCTTCGCCAGGCATTGACCAATGATGGCGACGACGTAGACGAGGAGCTACAAAGCTTCCTGGCTGGAGAGTCCTGGGGCGACGACAAATGGATGAAGGGTGCGCTTATCGGCCAAGGTTCATTCGGCAGTGTGTACCTGGCTCTCCATGCTGTTACTGGTGAGCTTCTCGCTGTGAAGCAGGTCGAGACACCTGCTCCTGGAGCCAACAGCCAGGGCGACACACGCAAGAAGGGCATGATCGAAGCACTCAAGCGAGAAATAAGCCTTCTTCGCGATCTTCGACATCCTAATATTGTGCAATATCTTGGTTGCAGTTCCTCAGCTGATTATCTCAACATTTTCCTCGAGTATGTGCCTGGTGGATCAGTTCAGACGATACTCAACTCGTACGGTGCGCTCCCAGAGCCGCTGGTTCGCAGTTTTGTTCGACAAATTCTGACTGGCCTTTCATACCTACACAACCGGGACATTATCCATCGCGACATCAAGGGAGCCAACATCCTGGTGGACAACAAGGGAACCATCAAGATTTCTGATTTCGGTATTTCAAAGAAGCTGGAGGCCTCCAACATTCTAAACGGCGCCAACAACAATAAGCACCGCCCTTCACTGCAAGGATCCGTTTTCTGGATGGCGCCTGAAGTTGTGAAGCAAACATCGTATACTCGCAAAGCAGATATCTGGTCGCTTGGGTGCTTGGTGGTGGAGATGATGACTGGTAGTCACCCTTTCCCCGACTGCAGTCAGCTCCAGGCTATCTTCAAGATTGGGGGCGGAAAGGCGGCTCCTACAATCCCTGAACATGCGAGCGAGGCAGCCAAAGAGTTCCTTGCGCAAACCTTTGAAATTGACCACAACCTACGACCTAGCGCGGACCAGCTGATACTCAGCCCCTTCCTGATCCCAATCACCTAATTGTAATACGGGCGGGTTATCAGGCTCCATGGGGGTCCAAAGCTGAACGAATTACGAAGTGCTCAACGTTGCTATTGACGGGATACGGAAGCTGCAAGGCTATTTATTGATGGGTTGGATTTGGAGGATTTACTCAAATCATGAGTAGGCGTGGAGTGGTAATCTCAAACAAGGCCTGAGAGAAGCAGAATGTGTTTTAACTTGCAAAGAAGATGATGCCTGTGCGGCGTATGCGTGATGAATGATTTGCGATACCACGTTCGCTCTGATTTAATTTACCTGAACTAGAGGATTGCATCAGGATTGGGATGAAAGGTAGCATTTTCTCTTTAGACATGGGACAAGGAGTTTGGTAGATGAGAAGATGAACGTACCTAAGTAGTAGTAATATGAGTCAAAAGAGACTAAGAATTCCAAGAGACAAGACAGCCCAAGGATTATGACAAAGACAAAGACAAAGACAAGGGATTGTACCAAAGTTCCAATTTTCACGGACGTGATTTCATTTGCTCGCTCGGATTCTTGTTGTGAACTCGAAATGCATATGTTTTCTTGGTAGTAGATGGTGCGAGGCGGAGGCTTGAAGCGCCTTGCTGCCTGTTCACAACCCACAACGGTCACTCGAAAGTCCCATTTGCCTCGATGCGTCAGGCCGCCCAGAGGCGATTCGGTCATCTACCATTCATCATACAAGAAAGTCGAGGACGACACAAGTTCACGCCGACATCTCGGAAGCTCACGCTGATTTTCTGAGTCTACGCCGAATAGTCACTTTTATGATCAGTATGTTGAAAACTGTTGGACGATGGACTACGGATATGCATGCTCAGTCTCGACTAACACTGGCTTAGAGGCTATATAAGCCAACCAACGACCAGAGCGACCATGAGCTCTCAGGGCGATAGCCAACCTTCGCAGGACAGCACCATGACGCTCATGCAGGAGAATCTCTCAGAGGTTCTCTACTTTGCATACGGATCAAACCTCTCGACTAAGCAGATGCGTAGGCGCTGCCCATACTCCACACCCGTTGGCCTCGCATATCTCAAGGGCTGGAGATGGATCATCAACGAACGCGGCTATGCCAACGTCGTGCAGCTCCCTATCGATTCAGACAACGATGAAACGCCAGAAGCTGAAGACAACCGCCAGCCGAGCACAAAGGGCAAAGGCAAGGAGAAGCAGAAGCCCGAGGAGGGTGTATATGGGCTACTGTACCTTGTTCCGGCAGATGACGAAGAGAGCCTCGACAGATATGAGGGCGTTCCATCGGCATATCAGAAGTTCCAGGTGGATGTCAAGTGGGCGAGTGCAAACAAGGAAGAAGACGAGACGCTGAGAGCCTTGGTGTACGTTGATGAGATGAGGGTGGAGGAGGATGTGCCTCGAGAGGAGTACATCGAGCGTATGGAGGATGGAATCGAGGATGCTGTTGAGAATTGGGGGATGGATGAGGACTATGCTGATCGAGTCATGAGGAGATTCTGGATTGAGAAGGACTGATGTTACGGCGACATTGAGATGGGTTTATTCTCCAAGGATCTTTGTTGCCTGATGCGTTGTCTTGTGTTCTTTTTGCCATCCTTCTCCTTTGTCAGAGCAAGTTTAGTTCATGCAGTTAGATAGATACACGCTGGGACCAGGGCAGCATTGTTGTTTTGCTTTGACGAAGAAAGGAATTGATACAATGTTTTAGAAGTCCAAGTTGAAGCAAAGGTAGATGCAGTGATGTTACAGCGCATCAACCACTAAACATTCAGCTCCTCTCACTCCTCTAGTTCACCATCCGAACTCTGGTCTCGGACCTCCGAGCTATCCCCGGGCAGCTTGAACCTTTATATAACATCCTCTCGACTTATAAACACCTTTTATAGATTTATTCGGCTGGAGTACGGCAATCATGGCAACTTGTAAACCCTTATCACGACACATCATCCGTTCAGTTGGACTCTCCCAAACCCGCCTGATGACCACCTCAACACCAGCCTCAAGCTTCCCTGCATGGTTTGCCCGTGGCGGAACATCAAACGGTCTCGTCATCCACCGTAAAGATCTTCCCCCAGAATCCCAATGGCATAAAATACTCCCTCCAGCAATGGGCTCGCCCGACCCCTACGGACGCCAGCTCAATGGCATGGGCTCTGGCATCTCGTCGACCTCAAAGATCGTCATCCTTGGATCACCTTCGAGAGAAGACGTGGATGTGGATTTCACATTTGTGCAGGTTGGAATCCGCGATGGAAGCCTCGATATGGCTGGGAATTGCGGCAACATGTCGTCCTTAGTTGGCCCTGCGGCGTGGGATAGTGGGCTGCTGTCGGCTCAGGCCAAGGCTGTTGAGCAGGATGAGAATGGATTGCAGTGGGCCACTGTGCGGTTCTTGAATACCAACACTAATAAGGTCATGAGTTCAAAGTTTCAAGTTGAAGGCGAGCCTCTCAAGTATGCGCATCAAGGAGAGTATGCCATGGACGGGGTTCCGGGAACAGGCTCCAAGGTCATCATGAGCTTCATTGATCCTGCTGGTGCGAAGACCGGCAAAGCTCTTCCAACGGGAAACCCCGTGGATGTCCTCCAACTGCAAGACGGTACCAAGATCAAGGCATCTCTCGTTGATGTGGGAAATCCCGGTGTTTTCATCACTACTGAAAGCTTGGGACTTGCTGATCACATGTCTCTCACACCAGCTATCGTCGAGTCAAACCCCGAACTCAAGGAAAAGCTTGGAGAGATACGTCGAGCCGGTGCTAGTCTCATGGGCCTCGATCCCAACACGGAGAGTGTTCCCAAAATTGTCCTTTTGTTCCCCTCGAGTGGTTCGCCAGACGTTGATATCAGATGCCTTGCTTTGTCCATGGGCCAGGCACACAAGGCTGTGCCGTTAACTCTAGCGCTCTGCCTCGGGGCTGCTTCCCAACTCAAAGGGACACTTGCGTCTGATCTGATAGAGGGCCGGTCAAAGGAGACGGTTAGTATTGGGCATCCAAGTGGCAAAGTTGACATTGGGACTGTCATTCGAGATGGGAAGATTGAGTCTGCGCAACTCTTACGGACGGCCAGGGTACTCATGAAGGGGGATGTGTACTATTAAGGATTTGATTGAGTGTGTTGTTCATAAGTTTCTGTATATATATTATTGTCACCATTAGAGATATTGGGGTTGGCCTACGTTTGCAAGGGTTCAAGTCGGATTTGAATGAGTCGAAACACACGAAATGCCGCCCAAGTCAGGCAGTTAGAAATACGACTCTGCAATATATCGATTGATACTACTCCGTAACTACATGAAAATTCATATGCTCAAGAGACGGAATGAAATTGCATGTGGTCGATGCCATCACGTGATGAACAAGGGGTTAATTAAACCATCACCAAACAACTGCCGTGTGTCTGTCTGTTCAATATTCTGATTACACAAGTCCATTGAGTTTACACTAGAGCTCAAAGTTCTTCGGTCTCTAATGAGTCCTACTAGTCGACTCTTCTACCTGCTGATGATCATAGATTGTCCCAAAGTTGCACAATGGCTGACCTTAAGCATCCATACTTTCCCGTTGACGCCGCTATCCCAGGATATCTCCCCAACAGCACACCAGTGGCAGAGTTGATAGCTACCTTCGGTGCAATCGTTGGTGCTGTGATTGGACTTACACTTTGGCAAACGACACGTACTGCAAAGCCTGTGCGGCCTATCGATAAATTTGCTGCTGCTTGGTTTGCGCTGTGTAAGTCAAGTCCTGCACTTATACAAAAGAAGAGGATGAAGAGACTAACTGGGAGTTGATTGCAGGCGGTTTCTTGCACATCGCCTTTGAAGGTGAGGCAAAGAGAAAATGACCCCGTCACAACGTCAGGGTGCTTACTTGTCAAGGATACTATCTTGTCTACCGCTATCAACTCCCTGGCATGTCGTCCCTCTTCGCCCAGCTGTGGAAGGAATACACTCTATCAGACTCCCGCTACCTGACCCACGACATCTTCACCGTGAGCGTAGAGACCATCACATGTGTAAGTTAGGCATGCTTCTCTCGCTTCATTGGCTTACACAGCCTCTACAGCTCGCCTGGGGACCCCTCTCATTCCTCGCCGTCGTAGGTATACTTAGGGATTGGCACAGTCGCCACGTCGTGCAGGTCATCGTCTGTACTGCACATGTGTACGGCGTTGCGTTATATTACCTGACCAACTGGAATGAGTCGAGAGTGCATGGCGTGGCGTACAGCCGCCCGGAGACTCTGTACTTTTGGATCTATTATGTTGGTTTCAACCTGCCTTGGGCCATTGTACCCCTCGGTGAGTTAGACCATCGACTTCAAGCACCTAGGCTAACTTGAGGATGTAGTGTTGCTGCAAGATAGTTGGCTGCAGGTTGCCAGGGCGTTTGCAGCATTGGAAGAGAGGAAGAGGGAGTGATGAATGCAAGGCGTGGAGTACAGGTTGATGCTGTCACAGGTTTCAGGTGAAAGGTCATCCGTGGTAGATAAAAGTAGTGAAACAGCACAGTATACAACAGACTGCTCTAGAATCAAGTTATGGGCTGACACTACACTACAGTGCTATGCAGCACAGTTGGCTGTGTAGACCAAGAAATGCATTGTGTTAGTTGGAGCCCCCTATACAATTCTTACACATCGTCAAGGCAAGCAATCTTCACCTCTAGTCTTTGTGGAAAGCTAGTACGCCTTGTCACGGCTAAGGTGACATCAACGTGGTGTATTGTTTCATAATCACCAAACTCTATTCTCTTCTCGCAGCTCCTTTCCACTCAAGCCTCGCCAAAACAAGGCCTTCTCTACACCGCCAGGATCTTGCCTCCCCCCTTCACCCTTGTCTCCATCTACACACTATAACCAGTCTAAACCCATATCCCGTCTCGCCTCGTTTCCATAACCGCTCTTACCGTGCTGTCGGAAGCCGAACGTTGTGGGCCGCGCCCATAGCACAAGCACTTGTTGGGGCCCTCAGCTCATCTCCAAGGCTTATTCTGTGGCAAGCCTTTTTGAACCAGTCACTTGGCCTGATGATACCCTTGTTTTCATGCATCTGATGTATACAATCCTCTCCAATTCGTGTTATGACATGCCGTGAGGCTATCGACATTGGCGAGCTGCTCCAGGATTCTCTTCAGAGGCGGTTGCCTATACGCTATGCCAAGTAACAGTAACACGGCATCCCGATGGGCTGGACGCCATATGCATATGCGTGCGTAATATCCAGTCGGTGAAGAATATGGTCAGCCACTACGGAGATGAGCTGTTCTCAAATCTACTGGTCATGTTTGACCTTCATTTGTTCATCAACAACAACGTGGTGACACCCTTCGTCTGCACTCAAGTTTGTGACATATATCACATTTTCATCTTGTGATATCGTCAAGAGTAGCCATGATATTCGTCTTCACTAACTTGAAGAATCCCTGTTTCCCGTGCTAAATCCCTGCTCGAGGCTGCATTAGATTGCACATCAGCCACACGTTCTTTACCGCCTCATTCGACAACTCCCCTTTATCAATGTCCTCCTAGCGTCGATTAGTTCCCGTTGATCCTGCTATCTCCATGAGGCCATGATCATCAATTATAATGCGTTGCAGTGGTAAAGTTCGAGTCACTACCGTCATCTTGCCGATAAAGTGAGGCGGGAGCTGAGCAGGTCTTAGTCGCTCAACTTATGGCTGCCCGTGCGTGTGCTTTGAAATATTCTGCCAATAGGAGCATAGATCTAGACACAGTATCAGATTATCGACCTCAAATGTTACTCGTCATTATATTCGCACAGGCCTGCAGTAACACAAGTGCAAGTATCAGGGGTAACGGTTCGAATCTGCAGAAAGCACAATAAGGTTTCCTCTAACTAATAGAGACGGCCAGATGCTGAATATGTAACCATTTCAGTTCACGTTCATGGTTGTAAAGTCAAGTCCAACAACGACAACCTCTATTCACGAAGTACCATTCTAGTGTTAACAAGTTTGGCGAAGAATGGCTAAGAAATAAAACACCCCTGACTCAATAACGCGCCGGTGACCCAATGTGCACAGTTTGTTAAGTGGCAGACATCTCTCGTCATCCCAAACTCCCGTCTCAATACCCTAGTTTAACTCACCTATTCAAACCGTTTCGCCTTGGCCGTATGCTCACTGATACATGATTGCCCTCTGAAAAGACTGTGTGGCACCGTCCTCAGTGCTTGTGAGTGGTGCAAAGAAATTTCCTGATTTAGTCCGCAATTTCGATGCTGCTTCGCGAGGAGGCAACCGAGGCAGGGCGCGGAGGAGGCGGCATTGGTGGAAAGATGGGGACAATGTTGGCATTGATGATTTCAATCTCGAACTTGGGGATGCTCGAAGTACTGCGGAACAAGGCAGATAAGTCATTTCCAAAAGCCGCGATCTCATAAGTGTCGTCCTCGTCCAGTGTGACACGGCGTACCATGGCTCTGAGAAGAGCGTGACCATTGCTAGAACGATTCGGCAGAGGGAGGTACGGTGCCGAAGATGAGTTGACAAACCCCGTGGGGCGCATGTTTGCCTCGTTGACTGCAGCTTGCTGGAGGTAGTGAACGGTTGGCGAGACATTGACAAGCATGTTCCTCTTTCCATTGCCTGGCCAGGTAATGTTGAGACGTGCAGGATACGACTTGCCAACCATGGGCGGAATGGAAATGCTTCTACCTGGTGGTGGAGGAACCATCGAGGGACCTGGTCGAATGCCTGGAATAGGGGCAGGGACTGGTGCCGGTGCTGATGCTTGTGCCTGTATTGGCATCGAGTAACCCCATGGTTGAGGGGGAGGGGGGTGACCGTGAGATGGCATTCCCGCTGGACGAGGAGGAGATCCCCTCCAAAAAGGGGTACGGCGGCTAGTAGGCTCATCACTGTCGCTACCTGAATCTGCCTCTGCTCGGTCTGGTCGTGTGTTGGCTGCTTCGCCAGCCGCTCGGCCACTGCGATGGCTTCGTCGGTGGGAGCGACGGGGAGGAAGTGCAGAGTCGTCAGAGTCCGGGGCAAAGGCTTCGCTGTCAGAGGAACTACAAGCAATGACATCTGGTTTCACTGAACCACCGCGCATACCAGATGAGCTCTTGGTAGCACCAGGAGGAAGATCGTAGCCGTGACAGGTCACATACTGATCTACCAAACGAGCCGAGGCCTCGTGAAGCAGTTCGAGTGCACGCTCGGGTCGGGGGGCCTTCTCCTCAAGATATTTGGTGCGTTTCCCGCCTTCTGTCTTGAGAACGAAAGCATGCCACTGACGACTTAGGTCGATCCGAGTCAGGACTTCGAAGTCAGCATCCGAGCTTTCGGCGGACACACGGCAGTTCTCTTTAGTCCGGTCAAGTCAGTAACGTATCCGCAAATGAATCGGTCAAAGTTAAGGTTCAGACTCACGCAGAATGAAACCCTTCGAATCCATAAGATGAGGTGCCATATCTGACTGAGGTGGAAGTGCTGGATCCTGACAGGCTCGACGCAACAAGGTCATTGATGAAGAAAAGGGGTTAGTAAAGGACTGCTCGATGTGCTGAACAGAGATGATGGCGTGGTAGAGTTGAGCTTTGTAAAGGTGGAAGTGCAACACCTTTATGTAGGAACAGCAAACTGGGTGGTGGTGTGTGGTGTGCCCAGTGTCAAAAACATCTATGTATAATACCTCACAAAGCCTGCAGGGAAGGTGTTTCTAACAAGCCGATAGATGACGCCCCCATATGGAATAAGGCGGCCAGTCATGTCTATCCCGGTTTGGGAGGTATGTATAGCCGAGCAATACAGGAGATACTTGGCACAAAGGCTTGCAAAACAAACGTCGCGCAGAGGCCGCGATGCTCTGACTTTGATTCCCGTTACCGAGGCCATTTCTCGTAATTCATGCCGTGTAAGTCTGGTAGAGTCCAACAGCAGACAATTCGTAATCGTGATACCACGAAGCGCCTTGGTAGAACCTCATAAGAAGACACGTCGTGGACTATCGTGGCTATCCGCAGAGAAACCAAAATAGGTATTGTTCCATGGGCTAATGGCCAATGGCTGATACCAGGAACGGACACTATGCATTCCGACAGACTGCGGGCTGCATTTAAGGCAACCCATTTGGGCCAGTAGATGCCCAAGGATCTCCCTGTATTGTTCGTGTGTGGTAAGCACCCAACCGTGCTCAAGTTTCTGCCTTGTTGTGTCCTTCAGCTTGTCACACAACCACAAAACCAAAGCAAATGCGTTCTTTCTTGGTTTCCGAGCTTTATTCTCGTTTCTTTTTTTTTTTTTAGGAAATCATACACAAACTAGAATAAAACAATTAGCAAACGCTCAAGAAACCAAACAATCATCGTGTAGCCACAAAAAAGCTCAGCAGGTTGATTCATGGCTGCGATCCGCCTCGTGAGAATGATTGGCCCACAGCCAAGCACAACGTACCAGCCTGTCTCAACTCAACTTCTCAACAAAGTAATATATTTCGCTGATAATGAAAAGGGGGCTTGTCAGCCCAATTGTGTTGCCGCGGAGTTATAGATAGGGATGCCAAAGCCTTGTTTCCTTGGTCAACCGTTTTTGCTTTTGGTCGAGTTGTCTTGTTATCCAAGATATGTGCTTGGCAATCGTGTATGTAATTGTTGCTATGACGATCTCTGCCTTAACTTCGAATTGCCCCTCTCTGCTGGCTTCAATGTGTAAAGATGCCAATGAGAGGCAGTCTTAGGTTTGACTACTTCACTTGCCTCCCATTGCGAAGAATGGTTGTCCTGGGAAAATTTTGTCAAGGAATGAGAGAATGGATAGAAAATCCAACGGAAGCACTTCTTATTATACTCTGCAGAGTCGTAGGTATCGTACATATATCAGTTTCAGACACTGGTTTGCAGCCGTTCCAGTCGTGCAGTGACAGCATCCACCAAGGCTGTTTCCCTTGATAGAAGTCCTTGGACCTGCTGCAACTTCGCCCGGCGAACCTCTTGTGGGATCCGTAACTCGGCCGAAGGTGTAGCGGGCCCATCTGTCTCCCCTGTCGCCTTGTTCATGGCCTCCACTTCGGCAGTAAGGTCAGCCTGCAGGTGCTTAATGTCTTCCAGACGTTTCCACAGCTGCTTAGCCTGTGCCGGTGTCGCCTTGGATTTGCCTGATGCCAGCTCCGCGTAATCCGGAGCCGAGATGCTGGCTTCCATGGACTTCACTTCCTCAACAAAGGCACGTTCCTTGGCACTCAAGTCACGCGTGGTCGCCTTACCTACAATCTTGCGTAGGTTTTCGAGGCGCTCAGTCAGCCGGTCCTGGCGGTCCCTTGCTGCACTAACTCGCCGATCGTACATGGCATTATCCGCCTCTCCATCACGGTGCGACCCGTTGATTGTGTCGATCTTACCCTTTACCTCGTTCGCCTTCATGACTTGTTGCTTAAGCTCACTCTGAAGAAGTTCACATCGCCGGAATACTTCAGCCGCAGCCATTCCAAGGCGATGCGTCTCATCTGCCAAGACCTTATGCGCATCGGTAAAGATTTGCAACGTAAGTGGGCTTAGTCTTACTTCCTGGTTGACAACTGTCTTGTGACGGGATGTGCGGAGCCTCTCAAGCAGTGTAGGCAGAGCAGAGCCCTCATCAAATGTATGAGACGGGTTGAACACGGGGCGAGGCTCATAAAAGTCCAGTGGTGCCATACTAGCTTCCCGTTCATAGCTGGGGCTTTCTTGACGAATTGGAGCAAGATCGACTTCTGGTGTGTCGAAGGTCAGGGCGATGGGCTCGTAGGGAGTCGCTGAAAGGAGAAAGTAGCCAACGTCAGGGTCTCGCAGAACATTGCATGCAGCTAAGGGCACCGCAATATCGGCAGTGGGTTGTGAGTAGATGCGGTCCCTTGTAGACTGAGAGTTGACAAGCAGGCCAATTCTAAAGTCAGTTCCTGCTTCGGAATCTCCATTCAACTCGCTCTCAAGACGGAAGATCCAGGAAGTAAGAGAAATAAATGTGATCGCAGCATGGTGTGTGACAAAGAAGTTGTAGCGAGATGTGACGTCGTTGCTGAAAACTGGCCAGCTATCCTCATTCACTTCCACGGGTGTCATTGTATCAATGGCCTGGAAGGAAAGAAGAGATGGAGTTTCAGCTTCAGCAAGTAGCCGACCAAGTTTATTCTTGTTCTTGGGTGGCAGCCATTGAGCCTGGACACCCTCGAGATCAAGATATACGCGAACTTGGCCGCTCGTTGACAAGAGGCAGAGCACGGTCAGAGAAAGGCCTTCTTGATCCCCGTCGTCCATATCCAAATCTTCTTCTTCGCCCATCATAAGCTGCTCCGTCTCTGTCTTCTTGCCGATGACGAGCATATCGGTAACCGATGTATCCAGCTCATCACCTGTATCAGGATCTGACTGAAGCTCAAAAGGGCCTTGCAGGCGAGGAATGATCCCCGGTCGAGTTGGTCGCGTGTAAATCTCCGTCACAGGCTCACCAATCGGCCCCTCCATGATTGTTGGCTCTTGGGAATCTAGCTCTCCCATCCATTCTAATTGCTGTTGGGCAAGTAACTTTTCCTGCTCTCCAACATCCGGATCATCCTCGATACTTGCAACAGTAGTGACGATCGATACCGACAGAGAAGGGATTAATGTGGGGGGGGGTGCCCATTTCTGAGGCAGCAAAGGACACAAGGCGTACACATCTCCTTCTCGCATCGCCACCCACAACGTCATGGGGTTCCAACCGCCAGCCCCTTTAGTAGAGAAACTGGCAGCAGCCACCTCCATTTCGAACGAATCAGGTGAGAAGGCCGTATTGGTGGCTGCTGCTGAGGCAGAAAAGTCCTGATCCAGAGTGGTACCGTCCACCAGTTTCTTCAGGTCGACAGACGTAGTAGGTGTGTCGAAGGACCATCGATCGGTGGTGGACAATTCCCATACACGTACGATGGCATCCGCGGTAGTCGTAACGATACAAGAGCCACTGACACCCAAAGGATGCCAGAGGGCCGAGACGATAGGAGATCGAGAGGTAACGTGAGTGGTTGGACCAAGCGTGAAGATCTTTGGTTTAAGAGGGCCAGCATCTTCACTGGTAAGGTGTGAGGGATCAGGGAGCACGCAGATATGGACAGTATGTGCGGTCAGAATGGCCAAAAAGTTCGAGTTCGGGGAGATGATCAGCTGTCGAATGTCGTCGGCAACGGGAGTCTTGATTGTCTGCGCAGTGACAAGTTAGCTACCGATTTATAAGTCATGATACTCGAACATACCCTTAATCCAGCAGCGCTCTCTAGGCTCTCGTCATCGAATGGCTGTGTAGAGTCCTCACGCTTGATTCGAATGCCCTGCGATGATCCTCTCTTTGAATAACGATTTGCCCATTCGTCCTTCAAGTACGCAAGATCACCCCAACGGATTTCGCGACCAACAGCAACAAATACTTCAGTCCCTCGATGAGCAATGGTTCGTCGCGGACCAGGAATGGTTTTCTTCTTGGACGAATATGCTGACTCCAAACTACGAGACTTGGACGCCTCAGATGATGGCTCAAACAGACGATGGCCGGGAGCGTTGCTGGACAGCCAAGCTGCCGAATAGCTCTTAACCTTAGGCATGGTGAGAGGACAAAGTCAAACTTCGTTGGCGAATATGTTTGCACAGCTTCGCGAAGCTGGCGAGGTGAGAATGCGAGCTATATGAGCTTCTCAGAGTAGTTGTAGCTGAGCGCAAGTCGCGATCTTTGAATGTTTGGAAGAAAATAACGAGGCTGAAGGCCTGGGGCTGGCGCACGATCCGTCACTCAAAGCTTTAGCGCTTGTAACCACAGCACCAAGAGGCAGGGTATATGTGAATGCCACATGCACCGCCACACTTGTCTGCAGGGCCCACTCTCATGGCAAGGCTGCTCTTGTTACACCAACATCCATCATCTCAGCTATTGAAGCTCAAGAAGCAAATACAGTACCTTGTTGCGCGCAATTACCCATTCTGATAAATCCGAAACCTTTCCGATTCATCTTCGAAACCCGCGATAAGTGAAGGTCACAAGACAATGCGACCAGGCGTCAGAAACACTGTAGAGCGGCTCGACAGGCCGAGCGCCTACTATCAGAACCGCGTATGGTATCTGCCCACGCTTTTCGAACCACTTATTAACACCATGCTAGAACAAGAGGAGACGCGATCGCGATGACGACCATGACCAACCTTCAGAGCCCCAGGCTGACCCTCTAGCCAATGCCACAACCCTCTATGTCGGCAACCTGTATGTTTTCCTCGCTACAATGCTTACAATACCACAGCGATCAATTGCATAAGGCTGACTTTCATCACGCCAACAGATCCTTCTACACAACCGAAGAGCAGGTCTATGAACTTTTCGCAAAGTGCGGCGAGATCAAGCGCCTCGTCATGGGTCTCGACCGCTTCAACAAAACGCCTTGCGGTTTCTGCTTTGTTGAGTACTACACACACCAGGACGCCCTCGACTGCCTAAAATACATTGGCGGCACCAAGCTCGACGAGCGCATCATCCGTACCGACCTGGATCCCGGCTTTGAAGAGGGACGTCAATTTGGCCGTGGTAAATCTGGTGGTCAAGTTCGCGACGAGTACCGTGAGGACTTCGATGAGGGCAGAGGAGGTGTTGGCAGAGCGATACAAGCCGAAGAGCGAGACGAATACGCCGAGGGGAAGTAATTGGGCAGTAGGGAAGCGGCGGTTGTCCGTAACGGCCGATTAGGACTCGATACCCTTAGATTTTCAAACACAGAGCCTTCGATGTTTGGGGAAATAGCTGCATCCCCTCTTCTATGTGCATATATGGTATTTCTTTCCTTATCTTCTATCCCAATGCGTGCCACTGGTCTGCTCCTTCACCAGCATTTGAGACCGTCTCCAAAGCCTTTTGTTTTGTATCATATCGGGAAATGTGGTCGTCACATTGCCTCTCAAGTTCGTAGGTGAAACATAGGTGTTGTACATAGATCCCAATGCGGATCTGCCTGCAAATCCCGCCATGGGATGAATACGCCGTTCTCCGTTAGATCCTCAACTCGATTGTCCTGCCTCCAATTCTGCAAAATCGCCTTTCTAGTAACCAGGAGGGTTGATTCGCTGGGATACCCTTGTCCACTTGGGCAGTTCTGTGCAATTGTCAGCATTGAAATCCGGGCAATTGGGTAATCTGAGCAGAGTGACATACTGTGAATGCCCTTGCGGTAACGCTTGGCCTTGCGGTCGAACATGGTATATTTGTCCTTTGGTAGCATCTCAGCCTCGGTGGGCATCTCAGCCTTCCATCGCTCAAGAGCCTCGAGGGTCTGTCCTTTCTTGGCGAGAGCTGCATCAACAGTTGCTACAACATTGTCGACAGCTCGCAGGCGAAGTCGGTGGCGGCGTTTCTGGAACTTGGACAACCGCCAGGGGATCTTCCAAAGAAGGCCACTTGAGAGAGGATTCGTAATGCGGAATGCGCCGAACATTGTCGAATAGCGTTACGGGTTGGAGACACAATCAGAGGAGTCTTTTGGTGATTGTCGAATGAACGTCAACTTTTTCCCGGTAGCCAGCGGCTATTGAGCCGCGCTGACGCTTAGCGCAGGAAAGCTGGTTGGCTGCATTGGCGGAGAAGCTCAGCGGAACATTGTGAGAGCCGGATACAGTGGGCGGCGTGTCAGTGGGGAGTTGTAGGTACTCCAGTGGGGGGGCTTCCATTTACTAGGTAGCTAGCCTAGTCCAGAGCAATGCAGACGTCTATTCATTCATTCTGTTCATTATAAGTAGGGTATGCGACAGCATCGACAGCATCGACGTGGCGCCTCCAGAGCTTTGAATAAATCGCCTCCACTCAGCGAAACCAAAGGATATTGCTAGACCGCGGCCGATGCAACACACAGCACCATGAGCTACTACTTCGCCATCGTCGGCACTCAGGACAACCCTCTATTCGAGCATGAGTTTGGCACCTCTAAACAGGGCGGTGACGGCCAGTCGCGCTTCAGCGATCAAGTCCGCCATTTGAACCAGTTCATCTTACATTCCAGTCTTGATATTGCAGAGGAGGTCCAGTGGTCACATGGACAGATGTGAGTTGTACCCACACGTTCGAAGAGGGCGGTTTTGAAGCAGGCAAGGGGTTGCGCATGGCCGATACAAAGAAAAGTGACACGACGCGACATAATACTAAACTCTGTTTCTTCTACAGGTATCTCAAGTGTATTGACAAGTTCTTCAACAACTACATATCATGCTTCGTCACCGCCGGCAACGTCAAATTTCTCCTGCTCCATCAACCCATCATCCCGACAGGAACATCATCACGGTCATCAACTGCCATCGGGGCTAATCCCACAAGTCCAGCTACTGAAGAAGCCATCAAAATGTTCTTTACGGAAGTTTATGAGAATTGGGTCAAGGCTATCATGAGTCCCTTCTACCGCGCCAACATGGAGGTGCGTAGCCCTGTCTTCAGAACGAGGGTAGCGGCAGCTGGGAGGAAATACCTTTGAATGTTGACAGGAAAGTTACTCGTTCTTATGATACCATGCTTTTAACTTAATACAATACAGTAAATCTGATGTTCGCATCTTGATACGGGTGCCTAAGTTCTCTATTATACTAGCTGTAATAATGTGGGCAGGCCATAAATCACGAGAGGGTATATGCCTGGAGTAATGGAGAATTATGAAGTGATCAATGTTCAATGTGGTATTCATTTGCAAGGTCGTCTTCCATGACGCCTATGGTAATATCATATCCGTTTCCCCAACGCCTTAGTCAAATACATCCATCCCAGTGCCGTACAAGCGCAACTGAATAATCCTTCTAAAGAGTGAACCATCAAGGTAGAAAGTTGTTTAACCACCGAAACCATAGAGGGTACGTCCCTGTCGCTTGAGAGCGTAGACGACGTCGAGGGAGGTGACGGTCTTGCGCTTGGCGTGCTCAGTGTAGGTGACAGCGTCGCGGATGACACCCTCGAGGAAGGTCTTGAGAACACCACGGGTCTCCTCGTAGATCACTAAGGCAGAAGGTTAGCATCTTCATAATGTGGAAATGCATTGCTGTGGTCAACTTACTAGCAGAAATACGCTTGACACCGCCACGACGAGCGAGACGTCGGATAGCGGGCTTGGTGATTCCTTGAATGTTGTCTCGCAAAATCTTTCGGTGACGCTTGGCACCGCCCTTGCCGAGACCCTTGCCGCCCTTGCCACCTAACATGAAGCGTTAGCATATGTTGACGAGTGAAGCTTGGAGTTGAATGCGATTCATCAACGCGTCATCATGGTCAGCATCGACGACCATGCATCGACGCGAAAGAATGCATCAAAAAAAGAAAACTAAGTACTTACGTCCAGTCATGATGATAGATGAAGGTGATAAAGTCTTGATGAAAAGAGATGAATGTGACGCGTTATCGCGATGTTGTAGATGACGTTGAGACGCGTTGAAGATGCGGAGTGAGAAGAGTGAAAGGGAAAAAAACGCTGCGGGGAGGGGCGAGAAGGGGAGGAATAAATACGTGTAGGCAATCAGTAAAAACAACAACTGTAGGCGCCAGAAATCACTGCTAAAATGCGGGCAGGATCAGTGAAAAAATGGACACCGAATTCGCTATAATTGAGGCGCTTTGCCGTTTTCGGATGCCCGCGTGAGAGGTGCTGTGGTTCGATTTTTTGATTGGCTGACAACTCAGATCACTCCCGTTGTGCCAGGTCCAGCTGCAGCCAGAATTTGGAGGTGGGGAGTGGGTCAGTTCTCTGAGGACGACGTGCATTGAGTTGCGCCACTGTGCTGCTGTTCTGAGGTAGTTAATCTAAAAAAGAGCTCGAGTCACGTCGACTCTTTTTCTTAAAACTGCTCAAATGGCGTATTATTGGAACACTTCGGGGATCAACCTGTTTGCCTTACCTGCATGCAGATACATCTATTATAGCAATATGGACTGAGATGCAATTTTGCGTAGGGAGATTGCGTGAAGCTCTTGTTGCATCAAGTTAGTAGGAAGGTTGTTTTACCAACCTACCTGAATAGCCTCATCGCGGCACAGCAAGTCTACCGAAATGTGAATTCGCAACAACAATGGGCTCAACTTTTTGACTCTGATTATCAGGGTATCTATCCATCAACTCGCCGCATCTCTGAATGCCTATTCCCGTAATGTACAGGTATCTCAACGCGTGGATGTATGCTGCTCATGCTACATATACACAAAGCAAAGTCGCTTTTTCCATTTGCACAGCACGCGCGAGTCAGGCCGCTTAAGAAGCCTATTCATACCAGAAAACGCCGATGCCATGCCCATGCTCTCGTAACAAAGTCAACAGTAGCGCCGACCGCCGGTCCTCATCCCATATATTCGACCCTCGCAATACGAATCAGTGCCACCACATCCCATATACTTCATTATGCCGATCGTCCCAAAACCAAGGCTACCAAACGCAAGTGCAGACTCGTTAAAATCGCAATGTTCATTACAATCATCACATCATCGAGTCGTCCATCTCCACGTCGTCCTCGAAACTCTCAATTGCTTCTTTGATCTGTTGGCTTGCCTGTTTTGTTGTCAGTATGGACGGTACATAACAGCACATAATTGTGAGGTGTTCTGCTGGCTTACCTTGGGATCCAGGGCAAGGGCAATAGTAAAGTGACGCACTGAGAGCTGCTTTTCGCCCATGCTTCTATACAGTTTGCCGAGGAGGAAGTGAACTGTCGCCTCATCTGGCGCCAGATCCTTAAGTATCATCAGCTCCTTTTGTGCCGCATCTAATTGACCAACAGCAAGCAGTGCTCTGGCCTTCTTGTATCGAGTTTGGGCTGCACGAGGTGCGAGGTCAACTGCTTTGCTATAAGCTTGCAGAGCAGGCATTATTTGCTTCTGCTTCTCTAGCACTGTTCCAATGCAAGTTATCAGCACTGCATTGTTGGGGTTGATGCTTTGGGCTGCATGGAAGTGCGTGTACGCCTTATCGTAAGCGCCGAGACGTTCCTGGACCCTTCCTATGCCATAGTAGGCATTGTAATGGCGTCGGTCGGCTGATATTGCTTGACGATATGCCGTGAGTGCCTTATCATATTCTTCGTTGGTAACATGCTCGTGTCCTTGCAAGGTGAAAGCATATGCGAATTTGGGATCTAGTTGAGTGGCTCGCTTGAAACACTTGAGTGCTTGTTCATGGTCGCGTGCCAATGACCAAGCATTGCCTAACGCACACCAAGCCTGCGGCGAAAGCCATGCAGAATCAACCAACTCATGTGCGAGAAAAGAAAGGTCCGTCTCCCGTCTTAGATGCCAGAGAACTGTAGAGTATACCTCCATATCCTCGAGTCGTGAAGGTGCTTGCACACGCATCTTCCTGAAGAACTTCTCTGACTCGGCATATGAAGCCTGCTCAAAGTGAGCTCGACCCATCTGTGCCAAAACCCACGGTGTGTTTTGGTGAGACATTGGAAGCGATTGAAAATGCTGAAGGCTCTCGGTGCATTGGAACTGGGATAATGAGTAGTATCCGTTTGCTAGCTTCTTGACAAGATCGAGCAGCCATCTAAGTCCTTCTTCGAGCTTTTGAGCATCAAGCTCCGATGTCTTGTGCACCGGCGGTGGAGGGGGGATCTCCTTGGCTTTCGGTAGCTCGCTGTGGTCTATATCGGCTTGTGCCTCTTCGAGAGGTTTGCGATTACCACTAACCACGCGGCCAACACTAGAGCCACTTGATCCAGGTCGAACGATTCGAGAAATTGGGGGCCTAGCCTTCTTCAGCTCCCTGACGGCCGAAGTTCCCATCCCGGCCGCGCCTGAGTTTGCTTTGGACGACGGTCTAAACATGTTGAGCCTTGCACTACGTCGAGTTGTCGCTGGCTCTTCTGAGTTTGTCGTTCGCTGTGCCGGGTGTCCCGATACAGTCCGTTTTCTTTCCGCCGCTGGTATAGACGATCGCAACGATGCTGAGGGTGCGGCGTTAGACGCATCAGTCATCACATTTTCTGTAGATTGTTCTTGGTGCCCCTTGTCTTGCGCCCTTGTGCGTCGAGATCCAATGCGATAATTCATTCGTGGGGGTGCCTCCTGCGCCTGGTCGATAGCTTGGGCATGCCGCGTCCTTCGAGGTGGAGCCTGAGGAGGCTCATGGGAATGGCCAATGCGAGATGATGTCGTAACCGAAGACATCGTACCTGGAGGTGTCTCCATGCCGTCGAAACCAGAGCTGCTGTTAGTCGATGTCGCATAGCGCATGCGTCCCTCTTGGATCTTCTGCATGAATTCGCTCTTATCCATTTCCTGGCCAGAGTCGCCGTTAGTAAGCTCATGGATGGTTGGGGAATGACTGGAGCTGAAGGGATCGCTTGCAACATCCATTGTAGCATTCCGTTGGGACTTCTTCATGGGAATATCTGGAATGATTGGTACAGGTCCTTCTCTTGATATTAAAGGGCTTGTTTCCGCATCGAAGCTATGTACTAGCGTATCGCTGGGTTTGAAAACGTTGGGTACACGGACGGTGACACCAAGGTCGCAGAGCGCTGCGAAAGCATCCCACATGAAAGGATTCAGCTGAAGAGCCTCTTCGAAACAGGCGACGGCCTTCTTCTTGTCGTCATATGCGCGATGGAGTCGTCCAAGAAGACAAAGAACTGCAGGCGCATCAGGAAGAGCGGTTCTAGTGGTTGCGCTATGCTTCCCTAAGCTGCATTTCGATGCCCAGAGACTTCGGGCTTTCTCCAAGGCGGAGATGCCATCCTTGTATCGCTCGAGAGCCAAGCATGCTTGAGCAAAAACCCAAGCACATCCCAGATGAACACCACGGTATCCTATAGGTTTGCCAACGTCGTAGGCTGAGCGAAAGTCGCCTAGTCGCAAGTGGCATAGGGCATAGAGGTATGTAGACTCGCTAGACCTAGGATCCTGCGCCAGCAAGCGTTCGGCGAAGAATAGACCGTTGTGGTAGGAGGCATTATCGAGATGATAGTATATCACTTGTCTTAAAAGGCCACTGGCGACCGTCGGAGTGGGCGCCATACTAAATGTTGCTGTCCAGTGATGAGGCTTGAGAAGGATGTTCGGGGGTTCGGACGGTGATGGCGCTGACGGAGTTGCCTAACGACGTGTTCTGGCCATGAGACAAACGATGGACAAGATCGAAATAAAATGATTCGGTGGGAATAGACCCGTCAGTCGGCGACCAACAATGGTCTTCTTGACCAAATAGTTGTTTATTCTCGTGCTAAGCCGTTCGCGTGAGTGGCGGGGACCAGCCAGATCGAAAGAAAACAAAGCAGCCGTGGGTCAGTAGCTGGGCAGTCGTAGTGGGTATCAGCGTCGTGAAACGAATTAATGATTAAGAACACAACAAAGAGATGTAGAGCGCAAGCTAATTCTGTCGATTTAAGGTAGCCTTTGTTATGTCGCGGCCTAGGAAAGGAGTAAGAGGTCGTCACAAGTACGGAGTCGTTAAAGGCGAGCAAGTGTCGATGGGCTTGCAACCTTTCGTGAACGGGAACGGTGGGTCCTAACGAGCGAGCGAGACAGCGAGAATTGTTGATGAAAACGGGACTGAAGGAAGCTCAAAAGTATAGAAGGGATGAAGAAAAAGAAGAAATTTCCCTGCTACCAGCTAATACGGCTTCGATATGAGTTGCTCATGGTATTGGACGGGTTGCAAACTCAGCCTGACCTTAGGGGCTGTAGGTAGCAGAAGGTGCAGTGAACGTTATGGACGTGCCTGCGTGAAACAGGCTTTGAATGTTTGGTGGTGACGGATTGGCCAAGCGCGCGGTACCTGCCTGGCGTGACGGAAATGATATGATTGGCTCAGGGTTGCGCCTAGCAACCAGCCACCAAGTATATCTACTTGAGATCACGCCTGGTTCGCGAGCGATAGCAAGTACCGAGACCATTTTGTCTCGGTCCTTCCAGCCACTGAGATTTCGCTGCTGGTATCCGTACCTGCAGACTTTCTGTCCCATTCCCAGCCAATTCGACATTACCTTACCTACAGAGTGGCAGGTATCCTACTAACCTACCGACCTTGGGTCAAAAGAAATAATTCGTGGGTTATATCCCAAGAATACTCCTTTTGGCACTGGCTAAAGCAAGATTGCCTCTATCAGTCTATCCATATCTTGCTTTTTATTTTATTTTACTTTATTTTTTAATACAAAGTGAATAAGCATCTGCAATGCATCCTGCGTCCACACATAAGTTCGGTTGATTTCGATTCGTACATGGATGCTTTACTTAGTCCACAGCTCCTGGTTAAGAGCGAGTTGAATACTGTTCGCAAAACATGCCGAGTCAAAGTCACCATGTCAGACAACACAACAATATCATGATCTTCATGGTTTTGAATGGTAGAACACGAGGTTCCCAGAGATTCATTAATCATAACTGAGTATCCTATATCCACCACTCTTGCTGTGAGCAAGATCTTGATGTTCCCATCATTCCCTTCCTTCACAATGTCAGGACGAAGCCGAGCATATCGACCACTGACTAGGACAGTGACCACATTTAAGCAGCGATGGTGACCTCAACCTCGACACCGGCCTCGACTGTAACACGGTTAGACTCTGCCCAGATCTTTTCAGACGGCGGGATCCCTTACTGTTGACGATGACGGACTTGACAACCTCGGTGGGGGCGTGGAGGTCGATAAGGCGCTTGTGGACGCGGAGCTCGTAGGAATCCCAGGTCTTGGAACCCTCACCACAAGGGGTCTTGCGGGTGGTGATCTTGAGGTTCTTGGTGGGCAGACGGACGGGGCCCTTGATGGTGAGGCCCTTGCTGCGAGCACGCTCAATGAGCTCAGCGCTGACCTTCTCGAGAGACTGAACCTTTCGGCTGGTCAGGGTGATTCGGATACGGTGGCTCTTCTGTTGGGGGCGTTAGCATCGTGCCAGAGGTTCAACTTCGCGGTGATATCGACGTACGGGAGCGTCACCGACGTCCTTCTCGTTCTTCTGGTGAGACATTGTGAATGGCTGTCAAGACTCGGCAAAAGTGACTGCAACGGTAACGTGATGACGGCCTGGGAGGGATGAGAGATTGATTCCTTTTGTTGTAGAAGCGTTTAGTTGACAATTAAGCCCCAATTATCAAAAAGTTGTGCGCTTATCGCTTATCGCCAATCCCCCACCTCACGGCACGTGACGAGCCTGCACCTATGTAGGTACATGAGATTGAAGAGCTTCAAGCGACCGAGCAGCTAAAGCTAAAATGCACCAAAAGCTTGATCAAACAGAAGATCTCGGGACGCGAATTCGGAAAGTCCATGCACCAGTCCTCGAATTCTGTTCTCAGTGCCTGATAAAGTATATCCAGTCCCTCAACCTTCTCATTCCATAATCTTGTAAGCTGTAATCGAGCAACCTCATCAACCCATGACGGCTAGAGGAGGTAAGAAAACTGAGGACTTCTATCCCAAGTGATGAAAATACTTAGGTAAATTTAGTATATCTTAGTAGGCCTTAAGATCAGTTAATTTTGGCATCCAGGTTTTAACGTCAAGAAGTTTTATTACCCCGGCAAGTGGAGGTACCAATCAGATCGGTGGACTTGCAAGTTCTCCCCTGTCATCAGCATCGTCATTCCACTTCTCACTTCTTGAGTGAACACTTCAGCTTGATCAACCTAACAACCGCGTGCTCTCAGCTATCACCACTGCGCAGCTAGATTTGTATCGACCTGAGCGTATTCGCTAGTACTCATATACAATGGCTCAGAAAGCGAAAAAGGACCGCGCCAAGTCCAACGCGGCGGCACTTAACAACCTGCACATCGGTTCTCTTATCGTCAACGCCCTCTTCCTCCTTTCCCACTTCCTGTTCCGTGCTCGCTCTATCTGGCTTTACGTTCTCCTTTCTGCGCCTGCCCTCATCTGCGAGTACATTCTCGAGGCTTCCGGTCGACCGAAGTACGACCCAACTACCCGCGCCCTGCGTACCGCTGGTGAGGATCTGTCCTCTCCTGGCTTGACCGAGTACATGTTCGACGTCATCTGGGTTACCTGGGCTGCAGTAATCTTCGTCATTATCTTCGGAAATAAAGCTTGGTTTCTGTGGCTTATCCTTCCGGCATATGGCGTGTACCTGGGAAGTGGGCTACTTGGCATGGGAAAGCAGAAGATGGCTGAGTTCCAAGGAGCGGGCGATGGTGCTGGTGCAGCTCCCCAAGGAAATCGCAGAGCACGTCGGGCTGCTTAAATTTCCCAACTTTTATTGAGGGCATTAGATCTCTCCTGGGATTCTAAGTCTATTGGCTGTCTAAGGCTTCTGTTTCGGACCTTCTCCAGTCCAGCGCTCAAGGGTATCATAGTCCACATTGCGGACTAGGACATGAATATGTTCTAAAGCGCGTACACTTTGAAGGGCGACCCAATTCTTGAACCACAGCACTTTACTCTCTCCGTTTGGACCCAGAGCATCGATGAATGTCTTTTCGATGAATGACTGGACCAAAGCCCTGCTCTCGGGTGTCATATCACCAGTCTCGGAGTCCGTAGGGATGGTTGTGCGCAACCATACGACAATGTGTCTGATGTCCGGTTCCAATCCGTAAGGCCAGTCATTGATCAAGATGCGGTAGTCTGAAGGGTCCTCGAAAGGGACGGTAGATCTTGGTGTGAATGGCGGGTTTCCCCATTCCTGAGGCAGGCGGTTTACAAGAAGATAATTCGTCATGGAGCCATATTCTGCTTTGGTCTCTGCAGTCCATGCCATATATCGACGAAGGTCAGAGGGCTTGCGCTTCAGAACAGAGAGGTTGTTCGTCCCTGTCCAATGTCAATGACTGGGCTTGAAACAGAGCAGAAATGCCGACTAGATTTTTAATTAGAGCTGCTTACTGATAATCTCCTTTAACTCCTCCCAATCATGTTTGTGAAACTCCTCATCAGTCTGCGAGAGGACCCATCTGTCGACTGCCGTCAGAGGGAAGGGCGCTTCTTCTGGAGGGTTCTCGCCCATCTCGTAGCAGGTTGTTGAGGATATGGAGAGTCTGAAAGATCTCGTCTGCCGGCTAAGATGGGGGAGTGGTATCGATGTTCTGGTGCGGGTGTTTTTTACTTATAAGGTACCCGTGTTATCGGAGATGTAGCGCTAAACGTTATGATTTAAGGGAAATATAGTTCTGAACTCACAGGCTCGAATGGCCATCGTGGTGCTCATGCGGTGAGAAGTTGGCCCCAGCAGGCTTATGTCAGCGACGACGAAGCAACGAGCCATCGTCTTCACATGAATGAGGAAACTACCATTATATGAGTGCTCCCGTTGAGTAGATGCGGTTGTTTGGAGATAATTCTCAATTAGTGTCATCACATGAAAAGAGTGTGGCCCCTTATCAACCGTTAAGAAGCTGCGCCAGCCCAGAGTTTCAAATCCAGACTATTGAACCAACGCCAGCCCCTCCATCATCGATCTCCTATCTTCTTCAACGCGTCAGGGACCCTTAACGATCTACTCAAACTGAACCAATTGGAGCCATAAAATCACACTTTGTAGCCGATGGAACTTTCGATCATCGTTGCCACAAAGACATTCAATTAGAGGGAGGAAACCTACCCGTAATTCCCTTTCACACCTCATGAAACGCCTCTGCCATCAAGAAAAGACGTCCTCGTCATGATCCTTGGTCCTATAAGCCTCGTTGACTGTGGAGTATTTCTCATATTTCTTGCACCTCAACTAATATGGCACGCTGGATTCTTTCTGACACTATTCACGGGTCTCAGGGCCCTACCGTTTCTCCGTTGGTTATCCCTCACTACATATCATGCCAGTCTAACTTATTTAACATAGTGATTCGACTTCCCTATGAGTTCGTCACTGACCGTTATCTGACTCATTCAACTCGCCAACTTGCGTTTACTCAGACAGCTACTGTGTTTGAGGATCTTGTGATACGTTGTGTGCGCTATGCCTTCGCCAATATCCCCGCCAAGGTTGGACGAGTCTTCTTCGGCAAACATGTTGCGTTACCATTTATTCACTGGCGCATGCTTCGCCATGGCTATATCAGATCTCCAGTTCACTACAGGGAATACAACATAGGAAAAGTTGGTTTCAATTTCTCACTATGGCTGTGTTGCGGTGACTAACTGCAACAGGGAGATATCAAAATAAAGGGCACTTGGATTATGCATCAACCGGAACATCCTCCAGATTTTGTCCTTTACTATGCACACGGTATGTTCGGAACAATTACTGACCATGTGTTCACTTTGCTGATTATCACAAGGTGGTGGATTCTTGATGGGCTCAAGTTACTTTTACCTCGAATTCCTCATGGCCTGGCATCACCTCCTTGTTGAGGCTGGATATAATAACCCTGCAATATTTGCACTCGAGTACACATTGGTGCCTGATCAAGTTTACCCAAGGCAAGTCCTGGAGGCACTTGAAGGTTACAAGCATGTCCTTGAAGTCGTGCAAGACGCATCCAAGATCTGCGTTTCGGGAGATTCGGCTGGTGGCTCATTGATTCTCAGCTTGTTGCTCGAGTTGGGCGCTCAGGCTGGCAATCAAGATAAGAAGGGCATGAAGGTCAACATCCGGGGCGGCCTCTCAGATGCGGATCCACCTCATCTGCCTCTCCCGCGTATGGCTACACTAATTTCGCCGTGGATAACACTGATGTCCAACTTACACTACAGCTCCAAAAGTGATTTCTTGGATAAGAGAACCTTGTGGAAATATGCACACGAGTACGCAGGAGAGAACATGGTCCAACAGCAACCGGCTTCTCCTGGTAACTGCGTCGATGAGGGGCTCTGGAGAGCAGCCAGTCCCGAACGAGGATACTTCATCGTCTTTGGAGAAGAGGAAGTATTCGCGCCGGATATTGAAGAATTTCTCAAGCGACAAGCCAAGATTGGGATTCAAGCTGAAGGACAGAAATTCGACGGAGGAATTCATGCGTGGCCAGTAGCCTCACTATTCCTATCCAGTACAGAGGATAAGAGGCTGCAAGGTCTTCGAACTGCTGTCAAGGAGATTAGAAGACGAATGCTTGAATGGGGTACGCTGAATGGGGACAAAGTATAGAATCAGATTAGATCAAGTAAGATTTCATAGACAAGGCCTGTAGGTGGTGAATCAGGAACCATAGTACAAAACTCGGTTTCGTCCTCACCAGGCCTGCTCAGGGATAAAAGCTCAACGTGTATCATCACTAGGATGCAGAGGCAGAAGAGGATATGCATGTAGAAAATTGTGGAACTCACTTGGTAGAGATTGATACATCTGCCTGCTGAAGTTCAGAGGTGACGTGTCCATAAGCCAGCCCGTAGGTCAGTCACTGATGATGTTGTGGGTGCATCTCAACGATGGGAGCCTGAAGTGAGCGCCTAGGGCTGCCACAAGGCATCCAAGCCATGCCAGTCACTCTGGGATCTGAATCAGCGCTGCATTTCAGCATATTCGTTGGAGAATGGCCCAGGAATGGGCTCCACAGGCGCGCAGGCGGAACATGCGGCTGATATTAGGCATAACTTGTAAAGCAGATAGCATCAGCCATGTTTATGTTATGTTTGAGGCTGAACATGAAATGCCTGTGATGAGTCTCTGCTGAGGGGCATAGCTAGCTCACAGCCAGAGAACCAACATTACATTATGAGCTTCGAGATATGAGCAAGTGGGTTGGAGAAAAGAAGAGTGAATAAGGTTGTAAACGAAGCGCGTCTTATCCACTAATAAGACTGTAGATGGAAAACTTACCCAAGTGCAGCATCATTGATAAAACGCGTACTCCGTAAAGTGCAAATGATATTGAATTACGGTGTGGGGCGCACGTGCTAAGCACGTACCATATCCAGCTCGTTCCTGCCCTGAATGCATAAGGTAGCCAGGTACTGAAGGTACCTATGTAGTAGGTGCATAAGGTAGCGTGGGAAGGATCCCTGGATGGTTCCTATCGATTTGGAGGGATCAACTTGAGACGCCGTCGTCTCTGATTTGGGGTTTGGGCGGAAGTCACTTTGTATCCAGGTAGGTACCAGAGAGCGAGTCCCCGCGTCCAGGCTGCGTCCAGTCGTGCATATAAACGCCCGGCATTCCCTCGTTTCCCCCGCCATCGCCATTTGCCGCCGCTGTGTCGAATACGATTGCCGACTAACTTCTGACGCTGACGTTTAAATAACGCCCCTGATAAACATTGCGAAAGCGACTCATGACCACAGTCTCGAGAAGCTTTACTTTGCTTATCTTGTTTTCCATTCCTGGGGACCTACGCTTATTTCGCTATCCATTGCACTCATCAAAGACTTACTTACACCGTCCTCATCTTAAACTCTCTGTCAACCAAAAACTTATCGGCCCACTCAAACAAGATAATCGATAATCGATAATCTGCCAACGAAGCCGCCAGTTTCATTACCTCCTGTTAGATCTCAACCTTTTTCCACTAAAATGTCTAGTCTACGTGGTAATCATCAACTCAATCACTAACCTGCTTGAACTTACTTACCTGAGACTCAACACTTTCTGCCTTGCCGGCTTACACGCGCACCATTACTTCCCGAGCCTCATCTCACCCGCGTATTGTACAACCTCCATCCAACAGGGGATTTTGACGGGTGGCCATCTCAATAACAAGGGGTCTTACACACAGCCCCTGGTAACCCGCCGCCCCTCTCACTGCACTGCAACCAACCGCTTCCACATCTAGGTAGTTGTTAAAAAGGTAGGTTAGCTGTTTGTCTTCTTTTACTCCATACTTGTCTACCAACTTCATCACCCTTATCCTACCAGCCTACATGTGGTGACCTTCTACTCCACCGTCACGTCAATCATATCACATCGTCATTCCCAACCCCAGTCCGAGACGGGAGCTCGAGCTTGCTGATTCGTGAGCTAAACCTCTTCTTCTTACTCCCCCTGTCCCCTTTGCGCACGGTTCTTATTAGCACCCAACAAGTGTGAGCAGGTCCGTCTTGTTCATTGGATTTGTTTGATATAATAAGAGCACGACGTTCCTTCAGTTTAATCGCTTTGTTTCTCCTTGGACACCATATTACATGCATCATACTACTACCTGCTATTCTTGTATATTCACATACCTTTAACAGACCAACCAACCACAAGCACAACAACTTGCACAAAGAAACAACTCGACAAATAAAGCCAGATATTAAGCTTTTATTTATCCTCGATATCCACAACTTGATTGCATTGTCTTTGGTCAAACAAAGTAGCTTCTTCTACAAACGTTCAGAGGCGCTGTACCAAACTTGTTCTGACGCCCTTTTATTCTTGGTGCTGGCTATTCTCGAATCACCCCCCGCTGTTTCATTCGACCGCACCGCCAAGCATCTACGTTATCCACAACACTATCAAGGACGACCGGCTCGGATTTGCATTGCAACGGGTCTCTATTCGTTCGCTGCTGGACAAAAACAATCTCATCCCGGCCGCTTCGGCGTGCAAGCCCCACCATAATCCTAATCATTCCGCTACTAACACCGCGGACCAAAAAAATATTTATTATGTCGACTGACGACAGCTATGCCCCAAAGTCTCCGGACCTCTCTTCTTTTTATTCAAGTGGCCCCACTCAAGAAGAGCTCCATCATCCACAGCCTGACAGTCACTTTAGCCCGGGATACGAATATAAAGCAGAGTCCCCAACCTACGCCAGATCTGCTTCCTTTTCTTCTTATGTTCCACCATCCTTAAATTTTAACAACAACGGCGGTGCATATGATTCTAAGTACCGGCCACAAGTCGACTACCAGCAAGCATCTTCACAACTAAGATCTACAAGACCGGAATATCAATCTTACCGGTCGCGACATTCTTCAATCCAAGACCCCTACGTCTATTCTTCGCCAGACAAACGCCCGTCTTCTGGTAACGGATTCGAGGACACCTTTGCCTCTCCACACACACAGTCACAACACCACACTCCGGCGCGACCTGCGCCGTACGGCCAAGCCTATCCAGAGCAAACTCCGCTTTCCAGCGCGGCTGCGTACGACATATCCTACGCACCACCAGTGGGAACTGGCACAGTAGAACGCGCTTCGACATTCGGTGCTATACCCTTTGACACAGATATGCCTCCACGCAAAGCCGCGCCGCCTGCGGCGCCCGCTATCGACCCATCCCCCGTTCGAACCAAGTTTCCAACTGCCAGGATTAAACGAATTATGCAGGCTGATGAGGAAGTTGGAAAGGTTGCACAGCAGACCCCGATCGCTGTGGGCAAGGCTCTTGAACTTTTCATGATTCAACTCGTCACAAAAAGCGCCGACGTGGCCAGGGAGAAGGGTTCCAAGAGAGTCACAGCACCAATGCTCAAACATGTAGTCGAGGCCGATGAGCAGTGGGATTTCCTTCGTGACATTGTCAGTCGCGTCGAGAACGAGAAGGAGGGTAGTAGATCAAAGGCCAAGCAGGAGAGTTCAAGTGATGAGGAGATTGAAGAGCCCAAGAAGAGAACACGCGGCGGCAGAAGAAAGAAGGCGCAATGATCTGCTTTCAATGCGGAGTATTATATGTTGTCTTTGCAAGGTTTGGGATGCGTCATGAGGGATAATGATCAAATGGCAGGCGTTTAGGGGGACTCGCATCGAGCCGGAGTTTGGCGCATTGAAGACAATTCATCGCATGGACTTTTGGCATACTGGGTATTTTAAACGCTTGCGCGCACTGGCGCGCTTGCGGACTGGTGCAATATCAATTGCTGGTGCTGCAAAGCATCTTGGCGAGTACGTTAGCATAATTACACGGCAATTAAAGCAAAGGGACGGCGGCCAAAGCTGTCACCTTGTCACTTACTGGCTACTAAATTATGAATTCCCCGTGTGGTTTGACTCTTGCTTCCTGTCTCTATAAGTTTTGTTCAATTTCGTTCACGATCTAACCCTTACGTTCCCGGTCTGTCTAAGATGCAATTGGGAGTGAAGCTTGGGCATATTGTGCAATATTGTTGTGCTTTCCGTGTCTATCTCTCTAGAATTTTGTTTCTTTACCGACATCATTCCTTATGGCATTAGAGCTACATCTGTGTCAATTGGTCTTCGACCTCAAGCACATCAACATTTGCCCCAGGTTGTAATATATGATCTACATATGCTATGATCAAGTTGATGACGCTGGGTGCCTTTCGTCTTGAGTAGTTCAGGCCACTTTCAACATAGAGGAACAGTCTATATCGAATTTCATACAGACCATATTGTTGGCGTAACAGAAACAAATAATAGAACCCCAGACATAAGGAATCATATTCCCGACGTGTTTACCCTGGAGCCTAGTGTAACCCGTAACCACTGACGTAGGTGGAACTGACGTCAGTACACTTCGCATTGAAATATGGCAACAGTCAATGAGAGCTGGAAATTGAGCATGTAGATAATGGATATAGAGCCCCCTACGGGTAAGACCTTGATCGTAAGTATTGAAATAAGCTTGATAAAAAAGGCTCCGAAGTTTATAGTAACCCGCCCATGATTGTAACGACTTACCTAAGTCTTTTTATCACTTAGGATCAAGGTCCCAGGTTTTCTTACCTCCCCAAGAGAGCCTCATGACGGACTACATCATAACTACATAGTAGGTCTCCGGACTCAAGCATGGGTTAACGAGTCACTCTCAATGGGAAAATATGGCGAAGGAGGATAACACTCCGAATTGCTGAAAAGGGTCCGGGTCCATGCCCGGACTAAGACCATCCAGAGGTTGTAAGCTTTTGGTGTCGAGTTTGGTGCCTCTTCAATGAACTGTCCAGTGGTTGAAATAACAGCACGGGATTATAAATCAGACAACAAATGCAGAATCCATCATTCTACTCAAGAAGGTTTATGAGTTCCTCCAGAGTACGAAAAAAATCAAGAATATATCAAATTGTAACCCCTGGGCCTCCTGCTCGCAGCCCAGGGACTCAGGGGTTCAATGAGCTTTCTGATTGGACTATCGATCGTTTGCCTTTACTTCTCTGCCCGAGGTGAGAGCTCCCGTCCATAACTTGCAATGCCAAGGCCTGAGCTGTCCGTTCCGGCTCCCTAACATTATCCACTAATATCCGCAACGACTCCTGTAAATCTTCTGAAGAACAAATCACCCTCCACTGACTCTGGGCTTGGACGGTTTCGTCAACCTCGAACATCAACCAGCTTGAAACCGTCGTCACTCTTGCGAATGGTCTCTTGATTGACTCTCCCTGCTGTCACGCCCGTTCTCTTGCCACGATATCCTGTATTTCTTCCTTCATTTTTAGCTCAGACCCTAGATGACGAACCGCCAGCTGTCCCTTACAGGCGCTCGCTCCCCCGCGTAAACCAAAACCAATGTCGTGGGACTTGCTTCAGAGGTTCCTCGAGTCCGACGTCTTCAACTCCAACCCCTTTCTCCCCGTCTCATACCTCTCGTGAGTCTCCTACAAACCCCTGCACGTCCTACAGAAGCCGCCGATACTGGTCGCCATACACATTTGTTATGCCTCTTCATTCTCGCTTCTTCCGCCCTCTCCGACGTCGCCAATCGCTAATGCCACCTGTCGCAACAGCCGATATGCCGACCACGTGGGGATTCACTATGTTCTCTGCCAGAAGCTCCGCCAGTTTCCCTACGAGGATATTGAGTTCTTTCTACCGCAATTATGTCACCTCATAATCAGCGTGCATAATGAGTCAATGGCTTTGGAAGAGTTTTTGATGGACTTGTGCGAAGAATCCGTCACAGCAGCGCTGCTGGTACGTTTTGATGATGATATTCAACCAACAACCCTTTGGGATGGAATGCGCGAGCCACCGCGTCATGGGAACGGTGATCGACTGGGATACGGCGAAAAGAAAACTGACAATTGCGTGCGCAGACCTTCTGGCTCTTTCAAACATATCTTCACGATCTCTCCTCGAATCCGCAATCCGACTCGTTCCAGACATGTCGCCGTGTCTACAACAAGGTTCAACACATTGTGTTTGGACTTGCTGATACCGCTCGTCATGAGAAGATCACGGAAAACGTCCTACCAGTCACGGTTCTCTCTAGTTTTGTCCTTGCCAGTATTGCGCTGCCCATGTTCCCCCAGTGGGCTGGCCCTCTCGCAGTCGCCCAAGCTCGCAAGCCTCAACCCATCACCAATGAAACGCAGGAACCGAAGGAGAACCCCAAGCCCACGAGGGCTCGCACAGTTACCGTCGGAAACTCGCGATCGCGGCGTGCCCGAGATAATGGACGGACCTTTAGTGCACCAGATCCTAAAGGGTCAAGAGACTCTTCACCCAAGCCTGCGCGCAGTCCTCGACCGCCTTCGGTGATTATTCCGCCGCAAAGGTCTAAGACACCAGTTGGGATGACTCGGCCATCCGCTCTTGAGCTTAGATCACTGGAAGCTAAGCTCAGCACGTCATCTCTTCCACTGCCATCAGCTCAACCTACTACCAGACCGACGACCCCAAACTCACCAGGTAATGCGCAGCGCCCGGTTGACAACGCAACCCGACGGCATTCGCACCACGCAAAAGCAGTCCTTACTGTCAGCGACATGTCGCCAGTGCAAAAGACGAGACTTTTGAGACAACATTATTTCAGGTCACAAACACAATTCTTGACGGCCCTGGAAGGCATCTCGAACCGATTAGTACTGGTCCCCAAACCCGCTCGAATGAGCGCATTGCGAGCTGAATTGGCTTTAATATCACAGGACTTACCTGCTGAGATTGATATTCCCGTCATTTGCCCCCCAACTCTGGTTAATGGATCGCCTGGGAAGAGCCGCCATCACCGTATCGTTCGTGTGAACCCTGCCGAAGCGACAGTGCTCAATAGTGCCGAGAAGGTTCCTTATCTGATCATGGTAGAGGTTTTGAGAGACGACTTCTCTTTCGACCCTGACGCGCCCGAAAATGACCGACTCCTTAACAGCTTACTAGGAGGTAGCGCTCGCGCAAAGCGTATATTCGATCTTTCTGACTCACCTCGCCTCTCCCCCACGGTAAAGGCGCCAGAGCCTCTTCTAGACAGTGTCTTTGAACCTGCTTCGGGCGATCTGGGAAGCTCGCCACTTTTGAAGGGTATAGATGAGTCGCCAGTTAGAGCCTCTTCGAGACCAGCACAGAACCATACTGCTCAGCGTCTGCCAAGTGGAGCTACAACATCTTCCTCGACATTGGATTTGACAACGCCGCGATCATCGGGCACAGGAACCTCGCGATCTAACAGCCCAGGACCCGTCTCACGAAGAATGACCATGCCCATTCAGCGGAGCGCACCAGCTGACCAGCCTGACTTCGGTGCCTTAGCCACGCATATGCGAACTGCTTCTCAGATGCTTGCACAGCTGGAAGCCACCAGCGGAAAGCGCCCAAAGCAGGAAGTAGCTGCTATCAGAGCTAAGATCATCGCCAGCATGCAGAGCCTTGAGGAGAAGAGCTTCGATGTTGACGAGCAAGGCCCAACCTTCGACACAATTATCGCTAAAGCCAGCACAACGCCAATCCCTGTACACAACCCTGACCTGGAGGAAGACGTACAGATTGACCCGAACCTGAACGCTAGTGCAGGACGTGAGCGTATGGAGAACGATATCAAAACTGGTGGTGTCCAACGGCGTGGAGATCGTGATGACCCTAGTGCGGCCGTCTTTGGTGAAGCTTGGGAAGCTAAGAAGGAACGAATTCGCAAGTCATCGCCTTATGGTTGGATGAAGAATTGGGATCTCGTTAGCGTCATCGTCAAGACAGGAGCTGATCTTCGACAAGAGGCATTTGCTTGCCAGCTCATCGATGTGTGTCATAAAATTTGGGTTGATGCCGGCACTGATGTCTGGGTCAAACGTATGCGAATCCTAGTAACTGGGGAGTCGTCGGGTCTGATCGAAACCATTACGAGTGGCGTGTCCCTCCACTCGCTGAAGCGAAGTCTAACGCTGGCCTCGGTTGAGTCTGGCCAGAACCCTCGTAACCGCATTGCGACACTGAGAGACCATTTTCTCAAAGCGTTTGGCAAACCTGATAGCAAAGAGTTCCAGGCTGGCGTTGATGCGTTCAAAAAGTCACTGGCAGCATACAGCATCATCTCTTACGTTCTCCAACTCAAGGACAGACACAATGGCAATGTCTTGGTGGACAGCGAGGGCCACATTATCCATATCGACTTTGGCTTTATGCTTTCCAATTCGCCTGGCTCAGTTGGGTTTGAGGCGGCGCCATTCAAGTTGACGCATGAGTATGTCGATGTTTTAGGTGGACCACTTTCTCCTGATTTTGAAGACTACAAGAGACTTTGCAAGCAAGCATTCCAAGGCAAGTTACACCAGAAACACGATGTTAGAATTGTGCTAATACTGTGTTAAGCTTTGCGTCGCTCGGCAGACAACATTATTGACCTGGTAGCGATGATGGGACATGACTCCAGGATGCCCTGCTTTGCAGTGGGCATCGCTCAAGTGACGAATACCCTTCGACAGAGGTTCCAGCTTCATCTGAGCGCCGAAGAAGCGGAACATTTTGTTGATGATCTCGTTGCCAAATCATTTGGCAGTTACTACACTCGACTGTAAGTTAAACCTCATTCTGAGTTTCAAATACCGCGTATTGACCTGTCTCAGCTATGACACATTCCAATATCGTACACAGGGTATCTACTAGACAAGTTCAACACAGAAAAGACTCGATAGGCAGGGAGTAGTTGATTTCAACGCACAAGAGAAAAATTCAAGAGCTAGGAGTAGCATTGGGATAATTCGGGGGCATATGAGATGGCGTTGCGGATGATAGACATGGCTGAATAGCCGAAACACTTACTGATGCGAGTTTTATATGACAACTGATGATTGCGCATGGTGAGGAGGATAGGAAGTGGTGTGGATTTTCATTACGGGGTAGAAGGGACGTAGAATGAGGGGATGAATGAATACTGGAAGACTTCTTAAGGCAGTGCCGACATACGCATCCAAGAATTTTTCTATCATGTCCCAGTGACAGCTATACTTACGACTGCCTTGCTTGCCTTTATGCAATACAGACAAGGTTGATTCAACGTGTAACTCATGGATAGACTCGTCACCTACTGACCTCACTTCAGCGCTGACTTTATATAATGACTCCAAGAGCGCCTTTTCATTTCAAGACAGGATTCACGATACCTGCAAAACTGTCAAGCAAGACCCTGCTACCTCTAACCTGCAAACCTATTTTTAAGTCTCTTGCCCCATGGTCCTCGCTTCCCGCCGCCCAGCTGAACCCTAAGCTGGCATCCCGATGAAAACTCGTGTAAGTGTTTCTGAATTTAATGCAACATCCCTTTCCCCTTCTTTTTTTAGCTACTCGTACATGAAAGATTTGATTCCGCATAATGCATCAACCGCCAACACCTGATAGTGAAGAAATAAAAGGAGGGTAAATGTTGCTTCCATCCTGTAAAGCTTAGAGATTAGGGTGAAATGAGAAATGATCAAAACATGGCCTTCATTGTCTTATCGACTTGGTGGCACGTTTCTTGGAAGACCGTTGGAGTTTCTAACCCCATCGATCACCCTCCCTTTCTGCCTCGAGTCTTCGCATTCTCTCTTCTTCGTCGCCACCATTGATAGCTTCGCTTCGACGTGATGCAGCAGCAGACGTTGACGAGCCCGTCCGACGGCCTTTGCGCGAGCCTGCATCGTCGCCGTCATCGCCCCGGCTGCGTTTCCAACCCGCCATACCTGCGATACGTTGCGCTTCTTTAAGCAAGCGCTCGCGATCACGGGCCTCACGCTCGAGCGTGTGAGGGTCTTTGCCCGAGTTCTCGGTGCGACTCGAAGAGCCGGTTTTCACTTTCGTGTCGTGACCGCGAGGGCCAGAGATAGGCTTCGAGTCTCCAGCATCAATCGACTCGCGTCTGCTGCTATATCTCGAACCTCGATCGCGATCCCGTTCTCTGTCTCGGTCCCTGCCACTTTCCCGATCTTTGTCCTTCTCTCTCTCTCTGTCACGGTCGCGATCGCGTCGGTCCCTATCCCGATGTCGATCTTTGCGATCCTTATCTTTCCGGTCTTTATCACTACGGTCTCTGTCCTTTTCCCGACGCCGGTCGCGGTCGTAGTCTCTATCCCGGTGCGAGGGGCGGTGGCTGGACTTTTTGCGATCGTCATCTTTGTCCTTTTCTCGATCCCTCCGCTTGTCCGAGTCTCTATCTCGACGGCTGCGGTGGCTGGATCTTTTGGATTCAGCTGGTGATGCGGAACGGTTTCGGTCAGTATATTTTTCATCCTTATCCTTGTCCTTGAAACGTGAAGACTCTTCATCATCGTGAAAGTGACGCCGGCTTCTATGCTTCTTGCGTCGCGAATCGTCATCATAGCCATCGTCCTCAACAGACTCTGAGCGATGACGCCTACGTCGACGGGAGCTTCGATGTCCCCTGCTGCGACTACGACTTCTGCTGACGGTTCGAGAGGCTGATCCTGTTTGGTCATGGTCTCGGTCTCGGTCTCGGTCGCGTTTGTCATGATCGCGAGGTCGCTCTTTGCTCTGCTCATGACGGGACTCACGATCCTTGTCCTTTTCACGAGCGTCAGCAGTAATTGGAGTTGGAGAACTACTCCTGGACCGGGATCGGCCTCGGTCTGCTGGGCTATCTCTCACTCCAGTCGGTTTAGAGGGAGGGACTTCACTTCCCACCTGGTAACCGCGTGCTCGAAGATGATGAAGACTTGTGTTAGGGAGCCCCTGTCTCATAGCTTTGGGCCCAGTAGGCGCATTCAAAGGAACATCAGCGGCTGCAACTGGACGAACAGCACCGGAAACATTACCCTGAGCAAGGTCTGAGTTTCCAGGTCCCGTATTACGTGTTGTAGAGGAAGCATCACCGGTAGCGGCATCCGCATTGCCTATGGCCTCACTGGATCCATCAGCTTGTCCGGCATCAGCAGGCCCTTCAGTGCTATCGCCCTGAATAGGTTGACCGCTTTCATCAACTTGCTGCTGGCCATCACCCTGATCGACACCGTTCTGACCATTCTGACCGGGCCCAACCTGCGGGAATTGGCCTTGGGTCTGATCCTGGTAGTTTGGGTTGCCTCCGAACTGGTAACCTCCACGGCCATATCCTCCGTAGTAACCACGGCCACGGCCTCGACCACGTCCGAAAGTGTTGCGGCGATAGTCATTGAATTGACCATAATTACCTTGATTGTATCCTGTCTGGAATCCTGAGTTAAAGCCTCCAAAGTCACCAGTTCCCATGCCAGGACCATTTTGATTGTAATTATTCTGGTCGAAATTCCACGACTGTGAACCGTTCCAGTTATTATTGGAGCCTTGGCCAAATCCACCTCCAAAGCCACCCATGCCGTTCATGCCCATGCCTTGAAAGCCACCGTTCATGTACATGTTCTGCATCGTCATTGGGTCCATGCCCATGCCCGGCATACCTATAGACATACATGTCAGTATTTACTACCACGTGTGCGCTGATTCATTTCACAAACTTACCCATCATGGGAAAGCCACCGAAGGAGTTCGGCGTCATTCCGTTCTGCATAGCCATCATCATCTGCATCTGGTTGAAGTCACCAGAGCTAGAGAATGAGCCATTCAGAAAATTGCCATTCATTGACTCGGAATCAGGCTTCTCTTGGTCTTGGTCCTCGTCGTTTTCGGCGTCCATTTGTTGTTCGTTTTCTTCGCCGGCGCCGTTGATTCCTCCTTCACCATTTTGTGTCGTAAGAGTCTGCTCGTCAGAGTGCTCGATGGGTGCGTCCTCTGTGCTGCCCTCGGCAGGTGCGCTCTGAGCATCACCTGCCTCGACTTGCCGAGGACTCTCAGTAGCAGGAGTGTCATCATGATGAGTAATATTCTCCTTGAAAAATGTTAGTGGAAGGTCCTTGACGAGAATGGGGAATTTCAGTACCTGGATTACGTGTGGAGCAGGAGCGCCTTCATCAACTTTGTCAGCGCTATCGACCTGTACTGATGATGGTGCGTCGACCCCCGAAATCTGTTCTATGGGTGTCTCGATCGCAGATGTTTCGGTTGTAGGGAGATTCTGTTTAGGCGCCTCAACTGGCGTCGCTGGCTCTGAGTCTTTGTCTTCCTTCGGTCGGCTTGCCTCGCGTTTCTTCTCCGCAGTGCGCAGGAAGACCCTGATTGTGGTTCTCAATGATTTGTTGGGATTGCAATCCTCGGCGGACAAGGGTGAGTGTTCGCAAACAGGACACGACGCGGGTAGATTGGATTGACCTTGACGCAGTGTTAGCACGAGGATGTAGTGGGCGAGCTTGTAAGGACCAATCGCGTACATGATTCGCATATTGCCTGTTCGCAACAAGGAAGACGGTAGGCGTTGACCGCGAGCTTGCTGCAGATCGCGCATCGCAACTTGATTGGAATATCGTCGGGCGCAAGGGACCTGCAGAAAGGGCATTAGCTTGCGCGTTGGCGAGGTCTTTCAGGCTGTGTAACATACCGAATCAGCTCCGCCTGAGCTTCTGTGATTGTTGATGCCATTGCGAAGTGTTGCTGATCTGTTACGAAGCAGCCCCAAAACCAAGGACAGAGCCTAAGATAGCAGAAGAAGCGTCATGGGAAGGTTGTGTGTTGTAAGAAATGATGGGAGAAAGAGAAGAGGAGAGCAGAGGAGGAAAAGGTTATGCTCAGGCAGATATGCAGCAAGGCCGATCTTTTTTAATGGTTCTGGTGCAACAGAATCACAGTCACTGTGATCGATTGGCGCGACGTTAAGGAACCACTAAGAGAGCTAAGTAGCTACTTATGCAGTAATTCAACTCGGTCAAAGAACAGCGAAGAAAAGAAAATGATTAGTATAAAGAGAGAAGCCAGGCCTGTTTGCTTCTGACGCAAAGGCCAACGGCAACTGGCTGCTAAAGGGCTCTGATGAGGTTCAAAATCGTGGAAAAAAGAGTGGGTCACAGACGCACGCCAAGCCCAACTGGTAGAGGCGGCAGAATCCGATAGTGATCACGTGAGCAATAAGAGTATTGTCGTAAATACGTACGACCATAGCAGTAAGAAATGAAGAAGTATCGAATGCTTATACATATCAAATGAGAAAGACTGGATTTGGTGGACTAATGTGCAAAGACCGGTTTACACAGAATGTTTCGATTGCGGATTGGTTGAGTAATTATTGCAATTCGTACTGAGGTGTGAGGTGAGCTGAAATAATTGATAACTAACAGAGCGCTCAGATACAAGGTTGACTCTGAATCATAGAGACGTGATATTTACTGAGTTTGCAGAGGACTTAAACAAGTGAAAAACGACTAATGAGTCGTTGTTTGGGTTAGGCTAGCGACTGATATTGTTAGAGCACACAAGAGGTACACAGGTACCTAGTTCCTGATACAAAAGAGACTCTTTCCCAAAGCCTTTTGGAGGTGGTATATGCTCAGTCCATCAGTTTTGTTATTACGAGAAAGAGATAGACAAGACCACTAATTGTCCATACATGCCGCAACAAAACTCAGCTAGGTAGTAACAGGAAAAGAAACGAAAAAATCGCAGAGTCAACTCCCATGCTCTCCTCAGCATCAATCCCAAGCAAACGGCTCGCAGGAAAAGGGCAGCATAACGTGCAATACAAAATCAATTGTCGTGTGCACCTCCAATTCATCCTCTCACCCTCATCGACCCATACGCCACTTGACTCCGTCTAGCAAGCACAGCTGTCCTTAGCACCAACATCCTTGGGACCACCGAGATTCACTCTTTGCTCCTCGCCTGCCCGGCTGGTAGCATTCGATGCGCCAGCTCCTCTGGCACTCTTCAATGACGTCTCGGGTATGGCGTTTGCGATGGCAGTGAAAACCTCGGTAACGTTATGTCCGCTCTTGGCACTGGTCTCAAAGAATAGTAATCCCTCCTCTTCCGCGTATGCCTGAGCCTCTTCTGTTGGAACCTTGCGTGCGTCGCCAGAGTCGTCCCCTTCCTCACCATCTTCACCATCAGCAGCAGCGCCAGAGTCGCCCGTAAGATCCAGCTTGTTGCCAACCAGTGCGATAACGATGCCGGGAGATGCTTGTCGCTGCAACTCTGCAACCCAGTGCTTGGCCTTGATCAGAGATGTAGGTTTGGTGAGATCATAAACGACGAGAGCGGCCTGAGCATTTCGGTAGTACATTGGAGCCAGTGAGGCGAAGCGCTCCTGGCCGGCGGTATCCCAAATCTCAAACTTGATTGTCCTTGTGGGAAGGTTGCATTTTTGGGTCAAGAAGGCGGCTGTTGACGCTAACTGTCAGCGACGTAATGGAAGGACTGGGGAGGCACAAGATACATACCACCAATAGTGGGCTCCTTGTTTTCTTGGAAGTCGTTGTTAACGAAGCGCAAAACGAGAGACGACTATCAGCTCAATTAGTATGCTAGGAGATGCCTTCGCAGCATGTGATTGTCCAAGCGCACCTTTCCGACGGCGGCTTCACCGAGAAGCACCAGCTTGACGCTGCTGCTGGGCTTCGGGGCGTTGGCAGAGTCGGCCATGATTGCGGGATCCCTCGGAGATGAGGTCAAGTTGGATGAAGTAGTTTCTTTATGGCTGAGACAAGTCGGAAGATCGATATCGTCGTAAAAAAACGGACAAGTAGCGTAAACGGGGGGTTATTAAACACAGAACGATTATCGGGAGTTTAATGGTCTTGATGGATGTTGCCTGGGGCAGAGGAGGTAAAGACGCGACGTCAGTAAGTAAGGTAGAGTTACCGCAAGGTTAGTAGTGGAGGTCAGTCGAGTCGGTACTGTAGAAGCACCTGCATGGAGTGTATCTAAGGAGGTAGCAGCCGTAGCGGCGAAGGGCCCAGTTCCAGGCGCTTTTCTAGAGGCCTTTAGTGGCCGGGGTTGGTCAGTTTGCTTCCCTGATGACGAAGCCACATGCAGCCGCTGCCAGCGCTCAAGGCAGCTAAGAAAAGAGTGGCCCTTGATTGGTTGATGTCAAAGCAGCTGGACACCCTTCGGTTTAATATTTCACCATATTCCGACTCCCCGCCAATTTTTCAAAGCGGCAGAAAAAAAAAAAAGTTGGGACAAGCGCATGGAAGCTCTAATTGGGTCTTGTTGATAAAGATAGTGCCGCTTGTTGCAGTCTTTTCTTACACTCATTCTCTCAACGCATGATCAATTGCTTCTTTATTTAATCCCTTGCTTGCTTCCAAGAACTATCTCCACCATGGGGAAGTCCACCGAGGACCCCAAAAACACCAAGCGCACCCTCCTCGATGATAGCGACTCCGAATCAGAAGATGGAGGCGCCGCTATTGCCACGACCGGCTTCAAGGTGAACGAGGACTTTGCCCGTCGTTTCGAGCACAACAAGAAACGAGAAGAGAGACAAAGACTAGAGGAGAAGTTCAAGAATACAGGAAAGCAGCCAGACAACGACGACGACGACGACGACGAGTCGTCCTCGTCAGACGAGGAGGAAGATGAAGATGGCTTTCTTGCTACTGAAGACCTCGACGCCCAGATCTCTGCCACTCTCCAAGCCATTCGAAACAAGGACCCCAAGGTCTACGACAAGGAAGTGACCTTTTACAAGCCCGATGACCCCGCCGTCACAGCAACCGAGAAGGAAAAGAAGGAAAAGCCAGTCTACTTGAAGGATTACCACCGAGAAAAGTACATGCGAGGTGACACTGGTGCCGACGATGCCGACGAGGATGTACCCATGACCTACAACCAGGAACAAGATGTTCTCAAGAATTCAATCGTGGCTGAGATGCATGCTGCCGCCAATGAAGACTCTGACGACGAGGACGGCGGTTTCATGAAGCGAAAGGAGACAGAGAAGGCGGACTCAAATGGTGTACACCCCTCGCGGAAAGCAGCCATGGCCATCACCGAGGTTGATGTTGCCAACGCCGATAAGAACCCTGAGACTTTCTTATCAAATTTCATGAGCGCGCGTGCCTGGGTCCCTCCAGATGGTTCGAACTGGAAAGCGTTCGAGTCGGATGAAGGAGAGGATGATGATGACCGCGCCGACCAGTTCGAACAGGCTTACAACTTGCGATTCGAGGACCCAGAGCGGAGCAACGAATTCCTTCGATCATATGCTCGTGATGTTGCCGCAGCCAAGTCAGTCAGGCGTGAGGAGAAGACTGGTCGCAAGCGTCAACGTGAACTCGAACGTGAGCGCAAGGAGGCCGAGAAGAAGGAGAGGCGTGAGGAGAAGGCTCGTCTAAAGAAGCTCAAGCTTGATGAAGCCCAGGAAAAGCTGCGTAAGATCAAGCGCACAGCTGGCAATGCGGGCAAGGATCTCACCGATGAGGACTGGATCAAGTTCCTCGACGACGCATGGGAGGATGACAAGTGGGAGGAGGAGATGAGGAAGCGATTTGGTGACGATTACTATGCTCAACAAGATGATGCTGTAGCATCAGAGGACGAGGAACAAGACGGCGAAAAGAAGAAGTCCAAGCATCCCAAGAAGCCAAAATGGGATGATGATATCGACATCAAGGATATCATTCCAGATTTCGAGGACGATGAGAAGAAGCCAAACATTAGCCTAAGTGATGTCGAAGACGACGCTCAGGAGGATGAGGAGGACGAGGACGAGGATGGTCGGGCCTCCAAGAAGCGCAAGACAGACCACAAGAAGGCCCGCAAGGAGTCCCAGAAGCAAGCTCGTCAGGAGCGCGCCAAGCTTGAGGCTCTTGTAGACTCCAAACTTGAGCTTACCGACCATGCCATCTTCAAGCAATCGTCTCATGCTCCTTTCCGCTACCGCGAGACCTCCCCTCAATCTTTTGGCATGACCGCGCGCGATATTCTCCTCGCTCCCTCCGACGCTGCCCTCAACGACTATGCTGGTCTCAAGAAACTTGCCACCTTCCGCGACCAGGAGAAGAAGCGCAAAGACAAGAAGCGTCTCGGTAAGAAGGCTCGTCTACGCCAGTGGCGTCGTGAGATCTTTGGAAAGGAGTATGAGCGCGACGGTCCTACATATGGCTTCGAGCGCTTGATCTCTGCCGATGAAGACGCTGGTGGCGCCGTGATCGAGCCCGCGAGTGATAAGAAGAGGAAGCACAAGAAGGAAGATGGCGAGGAGGATAATGTGGTAGGCGATGTTGGTGAGAGGAAGAAGAAGCGAAAGAGGTCCAAGAGCAAGAAGAATGCTACTACCACTACAGCGGAGGAATAGAAGGGTGTTGGGGGGATCGATCAAGATACCACTGCGATAGCATAACAAAAATCAGGCGTTCCATGTTGTATTTCTAGTTAAGCTGTTTTTTTAAGTAGCAGTGTTGGGCCCATCCCATCACAAAAGCAAGGTGCATTCATTTCAACAACAGTTTTAGAAACTTTGATTTCTTAACGAACTATCTCATCTCTTGGCAAACGAATGTCAACTCATCTCTAAATGAGCATGACGGGTATGATGGTATCTCAAGTACTTAAAACACAATTTTCCTTCCCCCACGGTTAGATGACACGCCCGACAGTGTTCGCCATACAAACTTCAATATGCCTCTTCGCCAATACCCAACCAAACCCAGCCTTATCTCTGGTACAGATTCCCATGTGGAAAGTATAAAGAACAAAAAAAGAATATAAGACATCACCCAAGGCTCGTGGCCTACATCAGGTTCAAGTCCTGGCTGACAATGTCTTTTGGCCACACTGCCAACGTCAATATCGGGGCCCAGTGAACTTGTGTGGCCGCGAAGACCTCCGGGAATATGGTGTTACCCAGGCTAACCACTCCCACAGTCCCTCCTAAGGACCCTGTTGCTGTAGCCCACCCAATGCATTCGGCGTTGCCAAACCACTACCCCCTCCTCCAAACACTCCCGTGAATGGGTCAATTCCACCCATGTTGAAGCCGGGATCTTGGCCCATCTCTGGAGGCTCCATGTTGAATGGCATGAACCATGCGGACGATGCTTCCGGTCCGCTAAGTCCTGCTCCATCAGCCATACCGGCTGCTTGCCCATTCATGCCCGCCTTAGCAGTAGACCGCCGGCCTTGTAAGCCTCCATCTGGATGGGCTCCTGAAGCAACAGCGTCCCAGTCAAGGCCACTCATTATATCCTGACCACCACCCAACCCCGTGCTGGCGTCCAAAGAATATCCCCCAAAGACAAGCTGACGATCAAGCGGGTCAATATTTCCATTGGCGCCCTGTCCGAAGTTCATGGCTAGCAACTCAGGAGGGAAGAATGTGGGGGTGTGAGCATGATGGGAGAACGCCGTCATGTTGGCCGGACTCATAGGTGACATAGCTGTGCTGAAAGCTGGATTCTGCGCGTTTGATACTGCGAGAGGGTTGTAACTGTTGGATGGCAGCCCCAGCCCACCCGAAAACCTACGTTCCTGAGCCCCAGAGACCGAGTCTGCGTCTGTCCCTTGCATAGACTCGAGATGCTGGCCGGACTGTGTCGGCAAACCAGCTTGTTTCTTGGCGCTCTGCTTCCTCTTAGGTCCCACAGCGCGAATGGTATCCTTATGTTCGACACTCTGGGGTGTTGGAAGCGTGGAGAAGTATTCTTCCACCGATTGTAGCTCGGGCTTCGCTTCGAGAACGCCATCTGCTCCCGAATCCTTCCGTTTATGGGTGGCAGGGTCCATGAATTCGGCATCAGAGAGACCATGCGGGTACCGGTTGAACCAGTCTCCGTATTGGAGGAAAGACGATTGTGCAGCACGGTCTTGCAGATTTGCACCGGCTCTCATGGCGTCCAGGGCGTTTCGATACTGTGTGCGCACATTCTCCACCATCCAGTGAAACATGCCCCAGTACTTCTTCATCTTGTGAAGATACTTGACGTTGGTGGTCAAATTGGCTTCCGCTGTTGGCTTCATGTTGGGATTTCCAGATATGACGCCCAAGATGTGGACTGTTGTCGAGGAAAAGGCGCAGTATCCAGCAAAGGGTGCCGAAACAAAGCATCGCGATTGTTCGGCTTCACGAAGGAGCTCAGATATCTGATTCGCAGCGCTGAAAGTCCTCTTACTCGCTTCAGAGAAAAAGTCATCATGAACACCTTGCTGCTTTCGCGCTGACATCGCTGCTCGACTCACAAAAAGGATGTTATGCTGCAGGCAGATATGCATGAAAAGAAATTGACTTGCCGTGTTCTCTGTCTTGTGGACGTCGAGGTTCTCAGCAGAGTACTTGAGTGACGAAGGTAAACTGGCTTCAAGATTCACGACATCGTTGAGATGCTTCACATATTGGGATTCGTCCTCCCACATGGGGTTTGGGTCCAGATCCTTTCCCCCTTGGCTAAGGTAGGTAATGATCCGTCCCCAAAGGGCGATGGCTCGGATCAGAAATGCTGCAACTCCCATGTTCTCTCGTGCATCAGCAAGTTGCCCATCATTGGGTGATGCTGGGTGAGGAACTTGACCATCGAGCATCTCGGTTGGAGCAGGCATATCGAACTGGAAGTACTTCTCCTTCACCGGCAGGGGAATCTGGATCGTATCCTCTCTGATGAACATGGGCCGATCTGTCCCCGAAGAGTTGAAACGGTCCATGAGAAAGCACGCCCACATTATACGTCGTCGAATCTCTCGGTCGATGAAGCTAAGCTGTTTTTTAGGACCAGTACGACCGGAGGGGTCATACTCGAGGTCTTTATGCAGCTGAAGGGCGAAGGCCATGCGAATTGCTTGACCGCCCAAGGCCCAGCTACGGCCACCCTGGCATGTTCCAAATTCGTGAAGGCCCAAAATGAGGAGACAGGTCAAAATTGTGAGATTTGGCCATTCGTATCGCCTGGTACAGATATCTCGAGCGTGTGACGCCCATTCTTCGCCGCGTAGGAACTCGGGTCCCGAAGAATTCACTAAAGGGCTCGAAGTGAAACGAGCAGCTACAGCGCACACTGTGAGGACAAGCACTGGGGGTAGCGTCCCATTTCTGTGGACCATTAGCGAGAAAAACATGTTTTAAATCTTGAAAGAACTCACTTCAGCTTTCGCATGTAGCTGGGTTTGTGGAGAAGATGGTAAGATTGACCATAGATGTTGTCGAAAAACACCTCTGCCAGATGCTCCTGAATTTCTTTGGAGGGCAGTGCCTCAGTGCCTTCATGCTGAAGCTTATTCTCCTCGGCTTCCTGTACTTGCAGGCTACTGGGCCTATCATCACCATCGATCTTGGGCTTCGAGGGCGCCTTGGCCCACGCTTCTAGATCAGGTCCAAAGGCTTCCTCGGCGCCGCGCTTTTTGGTTGGCTTATTTGAAGGTACGGTTCCTGGTATCGCTGGTTTAACAACGGCCCGAGTCACGGACGAAGCTACTTCCTGATCGGACTTGGGAATGACCTTGATAATGCGTTCTTCCATACGCTTCAATCGCTTATCGAGCATGGCCATGTAGTCTGTCCGTGGCGCCGCCTTCCGAGTGGTGACCTTATACACACATGGTATACGAGAGCGTAAACAGTGCTTGCAGGCGGGCTTCTCGCCTGAGCAGCGGATCTTCTTTCGGCGGCATGCAATGCACGCGAGCGGGAGGCGTTTTCTTTCTTTGCCAGCTTTTGTCTTCAGCTCACTCCACGCCGGTGTGGCATCGGCTTTATCCTCCTTAGGTTTACCGCCCAGATCCGTGGCATCTGCACGACTACGGGAAGCCAATCCAAACTCGTCTGTAGTCGAGTCTTCGAGGGCGTTGGATGCGGGAGATGTCCTATCTGGAGGAGTATCGGAGCCATCCATGCTCTGGCTTCGGTTGCCTGCAGGGAGGGTGCCAAATGGCAAACCGTTGTGTGCAAGGCCAGACATCGCCTGGTGCTGAGGAAATGCAGTTGGTGATTGTGAGGCGTGGGCGTGGGCGTGATCGGCCAGAGAAACGAGAGAAGGTTGGTCAGGAAGACCTTGGTAAGCAAACGCGAAATCGTCAAAATGTGAGGGATCCATTAAGGCGCCGTGAGAGGGAGATGGCACAGCGTGCAATTCAGCGACGTCGCGATAGAGTTGAGGACCGGAACCGAAGGACTGCTGGGCATGTTGAGAATTCGAAACGGCACGACCGGACATGGCTCTGCCAGAGACAGAGTTGCGACGCGGGCCTTCCGAGGCCAAGAATCCGGTGCTGGAAAACAAAATCTACCGGACCGGTGTGGTTGCGATGATGAAGCGAAACGACAGAATTGGGCAGGGGGTTCAAGATTGCGAGTGCAGCCCGGCTGTGCGAAACGAAATCTTTATAACGGTTGGCGGGAGCAGCTGTTGTGCAGGTTAAAACGCTGCAGCGCAAGAGCGTTGAGATTTGAGGTAACCCGAAGTCGTCCGGGGAGTTTATGGAGAACCAACGGGTACGTATGTAGTCAGTGGCTCCCCGCACTGGAAGCTGGGGACTGGTCTGCGCCCCGGCTGGGGCGAAGGAACTGGCGGAAGTGAATTTAGAAACGTTACGAAGGTTGATTCAACAGTGATGCAATGGATATCGGATCAGGCCGCGCGAGTCGACGTTCCGTGAGGAAGAAAATCCGTCTCTTCGGAAAGCTGCGAACTGAGCTCTCGATGGTGTTTGAGAGAGGTGCAAGAACGAGGATCGGAGGCAAGTTAACCGGGTCCTTGGTCTTTGGGTGGAAGAGATTGAGTCGTGGAAGCTGGGGGTTTAAGGCCCAGAATCACAGAAGGGTGGGGACCTTAAGTGGTAGAAAATCAAATGGCAGCGATCACGATAGGTTGGATAGGTTGTAGTGCACGGTCCGGGTGTGCGACTGTGGGGTAGAGAAACAGCAGTGTCTGTCTGGCTTTTGGGACTTGATAACTTTGGTGGTTTTGGTTCAGGGTTGGGCCGCTTTTGGACTCATCTCTCCTCTTGTCTCCCTTCCATGGCGATGCTAGCTATGTAATCCATGTTCACAACCATGCCCTGCCCTGCGAGAGAGACAAGGAATCGGTGGAGCCGTCGGCCGTCGACAACGCGCGTGGTGGAGGTGGGTGGTGGGTGTGGAAGTCCCCTAAACGTTTAGTACAGTCGTAGCAGCTGTAGGGGGTGACGTGATGTGATTGATTGATGGTCTGTGTAGTGTTGTTGTGTTTGAGTTCATGTCATGTGTAAACCGTTCGTGCATACAAACGGAACTGACTGACTTACAGTGTCCATGACTTGATGTTGATGGTGATGGTGTATAGAACAAATTGGTTGGATCGGAGAAACGTGGATATAGATAAACGAATGCCCATCTCCTTCCTTCCTCGCTTCACATCGCATCGAAACAACGGACAACTACCAGGAAGGACCAACAGATATTGCCCAAGAAGGAATCTCCGCCCAGGGTCTTTTCTACTCCCAACATCGCACATCCCAAAACAGATTATACATACTCTACGTACCGACCCTATGAGGCTAGGCAATGTTCCTGAAGATGGATTTGAAGCTGCCCTGAGTCGGTGACTATGACACTGCAACTTACTACATATAGATCTACAAAGCCTCTCTGCCTCATTATGATGTTCATATGAAAAGCCTTCTTCCTTGAATGTTACTGGGGGAAAAACTCAGCATCTCCCGGTCAGATCGAGAGGCATTTCTCCTGCTATTAATTTTAGTTTGATACGAACACGTACGTACGTAGTTATTGCGGCTCGTTCGGCTTAATATGTGGCCTAGTCGCCTGTATTAACTCTACAAGGCATCGCGATCTTCCTCATGTTGTCGTCTTTGGTTTGGCTTGGGTTGTCGCTGTCAAGTCAAGGTTCAGTGAGACAAGGCGCGGCAGGATATCAAAGGGCTAGCCAGGTGAACTAAGGCGGGCCAGGGGACCCTTGAACCTGTCTTGGCTTGGCTTGTCTGGTCTGGTTGTCGAAGACCCCAGGCTATCAAGGCGATGCAAGCATAAAAGCGGCAAAAAGCAGGGCGTGAGTTCACCCAACAAGAGACCGTCTCAGCTCGATCTTGGTCTGCAGGTGCACTAAAACCCTCTGATGGCATGAACTAGTCGAGAAATGCCGGAGCCGGCCAGGGTCTAAACCGCTCGACTACCGACCCGTGTTGTGGGCATCACGTCTCGTATTGTAGCATTCTGTTCCCCTGCATTAAGACGCGGTGTTATTCTCAACGGTTATTTCCCTCTTGATGGTTCTTCCCTGCAGAAACGACAATGCATGGTGCCAAAGAAAGCACCGACTATGGAGTATGGAACAGGCGGCTCAGATGATCTGCGGCTTAGATGCCTTTGGAATCACCAATTGAGCAGACCACGGGATATCTTGCATGCACTCCAGCCCCGGCCAGGGTCGACGTCCTTCGAAACCACTATCCCGGACCCTTGTTCGACGTGGACGGCATCTTCCGAGAAGTTTGGTGCTAGGCAAGTTAGACTTCACGGTCAAATAACTAGGTGTCATAATGCTACGTGGGCCTAATGTACTCAATAGGGGAAGCATTATTGTTCTGACTATACGGTATGATGATTTACAGCAAATCAAAACATGTAAACGTGTTCATATATGGCTCAACAAGCGAGGCGCCTGTCTTTACTACAGGGAGGCAACTACTCGCCCAGCCGCCGGCATATTGGAATATAATATCACATCTACGCGAGCCCTACCCATCACGCGTACTTAGTAAGGCTTAGACCTGGGCCAGGAGGGGAAAAAAACGTAACTTGGAGGCATGAGACAGAAAATGGCTGTCCTCTCCTGCTGCACAAACATTTCAGTACATGGATCCCTTGCCTACCCAAAAGTTCCTCGTCTCCTCCAAGATCATCTCCCTAGGGCTGTAGGTAGTGTAGCAACTGACTCTCTCGCTCAACCCACTGGGTCGGTCATCACGATGTGGTTGAGAGGTATGATCGCCATATAATCAGTCGAGCATGGATATCGTGACAAGCGAAGGCGACTGACGATCCGGTCTGGAACCTCAACATGATGACCTCTCATTTTACGGATGCTTTGCTGTCTACAACCCCCTGGACGTCAATGACATATGCGGAGTTACATACCATGGGGTCCTCACCATCTTTCTGGTGCACGCACATTGCTCGCTCGCTCTCACGCTCTCACGCACACACGCACGCAGCACTACAACACAGTGAGCATCATCCTCGTCGGGCCGGTGCCTCTGCTGCCGGTTCCATAAATGATTCTCTCTTTCTACTCTGAACGGGCGTAATAGCAACGCGGTCCGCCCGTCGCAGACGCTACTGACCAAGGCGAGGTAGCATAACCTGCATGTGCCATAGCATCTGTGTGTTTGCGCCGCACTGCATCATCCTGGTGATCAGCAGGAGATTCCCTTGCGTGTTTTGTGTGCCAGAGAAGGGACAGTGACACCCAGGCTATGCAATCTAGCTGTTACTTTGTTTTGTATTTTTTGCCTTTTTGCGGTACGGTACGGACTGCTGAGTATGTGGGATAAGTGGGATAATAAATACGCGTGGGGTTGGGCTTACAGACGCGACGAATAGATATCAAACCAACGAAATTAGGTCATTATCTCAAACACGCTGAGTCCTTGCGCACGAACTCGCCTAAGCCCTACAAGGAGTCGACTTAAATTAACACACTTTATGATGCCGAAAAAGGATCAAATAGCATATGCTTATGCCTATGCCTATGCCCATGCCTAGTAGTAGCTATGGGTATCTATTAATATGAGTCTGTTGGGCTGCGCGCTGAGCTTCATTGGGATAGATTACCCTAGGCTGCCCAGGTTGTCGCGGCCTCAAAAAGGTAGTCAGTCTACTAAGTTATTTCACCATTCTCAGATTAGACGTAAACACCTGCCGATTCCAGGATAATTCACAGGACTAACTCACGTCACTCTCTCGAGTCTCAGGTCAGTCTCCTATGCATCTCCTTCTGGAAGGTATCACAGCATGGTTTCTCAGCATATGTTGGCTGGCACTTAAAGATCCAACCATCTTCCTCAGCCACTTACACCGTCCAACCTGCAATATGTCTGAGCCTCGGTCCGTTTCGACCTTGGCCCGATCTTGGTCGCAGAAGTGAAACCGTTGTTAATGTTCCACTGCATAAAACGTAGATGATATCTCCCGGTTGTGGCCATGCTGTCACATCAACAACATGAATCTTCCACACGAACAGAAGGCCATGTGCACCTCGAACTATAAACAGTGGAATCGTGAGAGAATGAGCAAGTTGATAGTTATCTAACTTTCAATCTTGGGTAGTATCCAGAGATGTAGCTCATCTTCCCCTGGCCTTTCACTCAACATAGCCTTGGGAAAGTTCCAACAGCCGGGCCAATTATGGATCACGAACTCAATTTTGTTCATCAAAAAGCACTATCCCTTCATTAATCTAAAATCAAACCAGGATCCCACTTATCCAAACTCCCGGAAATGCTAAGCTATCCTGCTACGCCATGCTATGCTACGCCATCTAACCTCTATTCAGTATCAGCAAGAGACGCGATGCTTCGTAACCCTGAAAAAGGAATAAACAACCAAACACTTTGCCCCCTATTCAATCACTCTTCCCCTCTGTGCTTGATGTACACCGGGATGCCATACAGTACCACCGCCGCGGCGTTGAGATACCGGAACTTGCACGCCTCCCTGGACCGCCCAACCGCCTCGGCCAGTGACACGTTGTTCATTACTTGACCGTCTTCCTCCGACTCACTCTCGTCCTCGCTCGAGGCCCGACTCTTGCCCTTGACTCGCTTATTCTCCTTGAACGTGCCCTTGGGGAACAGTCCCCATTCCTCAAACGATCGGCCCGCGAACCGATCAATGTCCCTATCCGTCACGTCCCATAGTGTACCCACCACAGCTGGACATCCAGCCATCATGTAGTTCCACACAGGGCCGTAGGACTCAAACTCTCCGGCTTCTGTTAGCGACGCAGAGCTGCAGCCCATCAAGAAAGTGGCTGGCCTGCATTTTTCTAGACGACGAATTGTGCGTGCTCGAATATACTGCGCGCCGCTTCCGTGTCCAAAGTAGAGGAGAATCTCAGAGCTTGACAAAGCTTCTTCAAACTCAGCTTCTTCAGGAGCGCGGTTAACAATGCCTGTCCAGCTGCCGAGGCCTTTCATAATCGGCTGGAAGGTAGACTGTGTGTTGACCAGGTCTTTCGAGGGGTTCAAGATGTAGGTACCTTGCTCGGCAGACACGTAGTGGCCCTCTGGTGCGTCTTCAGAATTATCATCGCTCGCTGATGGTTGCGATTCCGTAATAAGTTGCCTCAAGCAAGCCAATGAAGGTACACGCGAAATTGCAAGTCCTTCCATACAAGGCATCGACTCCCAGGGAAAAGCATGGAGGGCCTTGTCAAGAACCAAAACAGTGTGAGCCCCTTCTGCTCGGTCAGATCCCGTCTTAGCCGCGTCGTAGTAGCCGCGCAGGGCGTCATAAGTCTCGACCACCATAGCGTCAAAGTCAATTTCGTCATAAGCGTTGCGTTCTCCGTGGAATTGGAGAATGTCAACAACAAAATAGAGCAGGTCATTAAGAGCCTCGTCATAATCACTGTCTGGATCACTGGGATCACCCAAACCGATGAAAAGGTCAAGGACTCGTGGGTCAAGGGCCACCTTGGATGTCTTTGCCGACTTCTTGCTCCGTCCTTGTTTTCGAGAAGGCAGATTACTGTCGAGCATCTGTTGGAAGCTCTTCTGGAAACGTGCAAGGAGGTCCGATCGGCGTTCGTGCTGAGAAAAGATACCCTTGAAACCACCTAACCAAGTTGTCTCGATAGTGCTCAGAAGATCCTTAAGCCGATCATCCAAAGCCTCTCGCTCAGCCCACCAAGCGGCTTTCGCACCCTTGACACTGAAGTCTCGACTGGCAGAGTGGCTCGTCTCGTTAGCGAGCCGAATAATCTCCATCATCTCGTCCTTTCCGTTCTCGAAGTTAAAGA